GAATATGCTGAAACCAAGAGCCAAAATATGTCCTTCCTCCATCTACGTGGAGGATATTTCCCCATATTGACAAAAAGTATGACCCAGAAGAGACTAGTACCAGAGAAGGTCACGTCCATCACATGCAGGCATGCTACCAACTGACTGCTATTCACAGAGCCTGCCTGGAGTATTAGAAGAGACTGTTGACCTAAGTTTTGGACAATGTTGCAAGTGTTAAGGTTATGGAAATTCTTAGAGATGGACTAAACACACTTTTGTGTTTTAGATGGACTTAAAACAGTTTGTGTTATCAAACAGATGTGGTCTTTGGAGTCCAGGGGCAAAACCATACAGTTTGAATATAAAATGTCCCACACAGGCACATTCTGGAAAGTTTGGTTCTTAGTAGCGGCACTATTTTAGCAGGCTCTGGAAACCTTGGTAGGTAAGGTCAGGCTAGAAGGACTAGATCACCGCGGGTGTGTCTCGGTGCTCTCTATCTTGTATTCTCCACTTCTGGTACACTGTGATATCTGCCTCAGTATTGGTTTAGAATCAGTGGAGCCAAGATTATGGATAGAAACCTCTGAAACCATGAAACTTATATCAAGCCAAAAATAAAGTTTTCTTTTTGTTGTTAAAAATCAAATTGTTCTTTGCAATCATTGGTCACATGAAAAGTCCGAGACTATACCATACAGAGACTATAAGGGAAGCAGAGTAAGCTGCCATGCACTCTGTCTGCAGACTCTTGAGAACTGTGTATGTCTTTCAACCAAAATAAAACTCAATGTACAAGGCTAGAGAGTTGCATCAGTGGTTAAGAGCACTTGTTGCTCTTGCAGAGGACCTGGATTTAATCAATCCCCAGCACCCACATGGTGGTTCACAACCATCCGATCAGGGATCCAATGCCCTCTTCTGACCTTTGAGGCACCAGGCACACAACTGGTGCACATACATACATGCATGCAAAACACCCATACATGGAAAAATAATATAAAAAACCTCAATGTAGAATCTTGGTAGTTATCTTCCTTGAACTCAGAGATTAAATGTAAGTAATTGGAGTATTGATATCATCCAAATCAATATGGCATTACTTCTTGCTACAAAGATATTTGAAGACGGTATATAGGTCTTATTTTTTTTAAGTTCATCACCATTAATATTTCAAAATATAACAAGGGATCTAAAGTTCAGGTGGAGCCATCTTAGATTTAATTTCAACATGTTAGGAAGAGCAAAGACAACAAACTGAGAAACTACATATTATCTTAACGGCAGCAAGCAAATTCTGCATGTAATTAAACGTTTACTTCCCCAGTTATTTTAGAGCGTCTGAGGAAGCTGGTATATACTGACAGGACCCAAGCTACAGTGCTTTGACTGAGGATATTTTGATCTGAGATGGTGCAAGGGTCATAGATCTAGTTTGGAACTTTGATTTTTCCTGGACTCAGTATGTGGCATGATATCCGTAATGCTGGGCACACCTGCCTGTAAGCCACGCAATCACAAGGACACACTCATACTCTGCAGTGTACTGAGTTGCTATATTATGAGATTTGATAGGCGAGGTGAATTAAATATAATTTTGATTTACATTTGATTGTTACTTTTCAAAATATTTATGTTTTATTTTAGGTGTATGAGTGTTCTGTATGTACGTGTATATGTGTACACCCAGTGCCCACCGTGGTCAGGAAAAGGTGTCAGATTCCCTGGGACGGAGCTGTAGATGGCTGTGAGCCACCGTGTCCGTGTGAGTGCTGGTAACCAAACCCTCGGGTCCTCTGCAAGAGCAGCAAGTGCTCTAACTGCTCACTACCACTCCAACCCTGATATTTTCATCTTACGGATACAGCTTTGCAAATTGAGGAGCAGCTATGCACCACTGCTTTTTACTATGTTATGTGTAAGCAACAAAAACATTTTTTTTATTTACTTCCAGTTGACAATTCGGACATACTGGTTTCTGAAGACTATGACCCTCTTTACTGTCTTAGGTGTTCGTAACAAGGAACTGTTATGCGCGTGGAATCCAGCATTTCTAGTGTTAACTACACAGTTACTACTGAATAGCTCTGAGTGAACATGTGCTGCACGACTGCAGGAGCACTGTCTGACCTGGGGAGCACGCCATTTTATACTCTTCTTGTCTTCAGAAGAAGCTACAGACGCAGTTTTCCTCCAGTCTGTGTCTCTAGCATAACACTTTATTGTCTTCCTCTGTGCTCAGGAGCAGCTGAATAGAAGTCAACTTTAGCCTTTAAACTGACTTATAAGAAATAATAAAGGCAGTAAAAGAGATAAAAGGAAGAACATAGTGGTACAGCAGTTTTTAGATGTGTGGCTATTCCAAGACAGAGGGAAGCATTTGTGGCAGTCAAATCCTATTCCAATTTACTTCCAAATTATACTCTTCCCAAAGAGCCACCAATGTGGGTACTGGAAATGGAAATGGGATCCTCCGTAAGAGCGGTATGTGCCCTCAACCACCTATCTTTCTCTAGTCCACATTTCCCCCCTTTTAAAAATGGTAAAAGTATATAAAGCTTTTTCCTCTAACTTAAAAAAAATAGCATATTCCTCTGTGACCCACAGTTACCCCCTGTGCAATGGTCCATCAGAACTTTCATTCCCAAGTATGACTCAGTACCTGTGATGGTTTTACATGTCAGCTTCACATATCTGAAGTCGCTGAGAAGGGATTCTCAGTCAGAGATGGCCTAGATCAGGCTGGCCTTCGGACATGTTTGTGGGAATTGTGACTCCTAACTTATTCAGCCTACTCTGGGCTGCATCATTCCCTGGGCAGGGGTACTAAGGAAACTGCATGCAAGGCTGTATTTATTCTCTGTGTTTCTAACTGGGGGTATGATCTGACAACCTGCTGGAGTTCCTGCACTGACTTTCCTGAAATGATGGCTATAAGCTGGAATTGTGAGCCCAATAAACCAATTTCTCTTTAAAGTTCCTCTTTACCAGGGTATTTTACCCTAGCAATAGAATTTACATTAGCACAGTACCCACTCATCAACTGTGCAGGTTTAACTGTCAATTTGGTTCAGTATGTTTTATAAAAGAGGTGTTTCTAATAATGTAACTTTTTTTTTTTTTTTTTTTTTTTTGGTTTTTCGAGACAGGGTTTCTCTGTGGCTTTGGAGCCTGTCCTGGAACTAGCTCTTGTAGACCAGGCAGGCCTTGAACTCACAGAGATCTGCCTCTGCTGGGATTAAAGGCGTGCGCCACCACCGCCCGGCATAATGTAACATTTGTATATTGAGATTTCTAGGTCTATAATACAAACAAGGTCCAAACAAAAGCGGACAATCTTCTGTAGAGTCTGCACAGTGAAGCCCGGCCCGGCTTTTTTTTTTTTTTTATATTTTTGCATTATGATTTTACATTTGAAAATTTATTTATTTTTTCAATGTTCAACAAGAGTAATTCTTGCTTAACTAAATTTATAGTTTCGGACATTACCCACTTAGAGACTGAAGACAACTTAGAAATGCGCACTCTTCAAGGGGAAAATCACACTTGAGGTGAATAATATTAGCATCACTAGCTATCTGTCCCCTGTCTGAATTAGTTAAGCCATAATTTCGATCATTCTGACTCCCCCTTCTTTCTTCCTCCTGGACAGATGTCTCCAATCCATCGTGCACACACACACCAGCAATGGAGATGGTAACACATGGGTAAGTCTGTTCTATATTTTCTGACACACTGAGTATGAGGCCTCTAGAGGTGGGTCACACGGGGACTTCTTTCACATCACAGTCTAATGCACAGTCATGGCCGCTGTGGTTACTGGGTAGGGACAGGGCTGGGGCATGAAGGACAGACAGGCTCTTTGATATGGCAGTTAACACATTTGATGGATCAAAGTCATACAGATGAGCAAACCACCAAAACAGTCTGAAATTCTTTTTTTTTTTTTTGGTTTTTCGAGACAGGGTTTCTCTATGGTTTTGGAGCCTGTCCTGGAACTAGCTCTTGTAGACCAGGCTGGTCTCGAACTCACAGAGATCCGCCTATCCCTGCCTCCCGAGTGCTGGCTGAAATTCTTTACTATGACGAAGTCCATTTCCCTGACATGATGATCCTGAGCCCCACTAAGAAACCCAGTGACAAAGGAAGAGAACCTCTTGCTTCATAGCTGACAACCAAAATATAGAGACTGTACATACGAACCTAACTGGATCAGCTATACCTGAGTTCTGTACTAGTCTCTGCCTGACTCTGATTCAGAGAACACAAGTATGTTCTTAAACGTAAAGTGGGACGGCTAGCTGGTCCATCTCCCCACACGACTATGTATAGTCACACGTGACCACACGTGCCGATCCAGACAGACTATGTATATCCACACGTGACCCCACATGCTGTATCCAGACAGACTGTATATTCACACATGACCCCACGTGCTGTATCCAGAAAGTCTATGTATATCCACACATGACCCCACGTGCCATATCCAGAAAGACTGTATATTCACACGTGACCCCACGTGCCGTATCCAGAAAGTCTATGTATATTCACACTTGACCCCACGTGCCTTATCCAGAAAGTCTATGTATATTCACACATGACTGCATGTGCCATATCCAGAACATGAAAATTACATATAAGAACTAAACTAAAGGTTACCAAGGACTTTAGAGAGAGGACGAAAGGAAGGAGGACTGATTGTGTAATGAAAAGAGAGTTTCTATTGGTGGTAATGGACAAGGTTGGAAGTGCTGTGAACATAATTAAAGACACTTAAAATAGTTAAAAGGATACACTTAAGTTTATGTATCTCTGTATCACAACAAATAAAACAATTTGACCATGAATGATTTATAACATTTCAAAATTAGTTAATAGGAATTATAGTTAATTTAGAATTTATTTCCTCCATATAAAATGATTCACTAATTCTGTACTTTTTAGATCAGAGTTGGCATAAAAAATGCCCAGAGCATAATGGCAGAAAACTGAAAAAAAACTCAAAATGAACTCCTTACTTTAATTGGCTCAGGCTGCATCACAGGTGCAGGCATAATGGCGCTGGAAGCATAGACCTGGTGGTATGCTGCTTGGACTCCATGGTCAGAGTATGGCTGTTACAGAGGCAGTGAGGGAATGCGAGGAGAGGAGAGACAAAAACAAGTATTACTTTCACCTATTAAAGTATTCATTACTTTCTATGTGACACACCTTTTGGCATATACAAAAGCCCATTCACTATGTTTAATGAACTTACAGTCTGATGAAGAAACAGACACTACTCTAAATCATCCTGTGTCCTGTGAGTCATGTGTACGATGCATGCGGAATAATGAACACTCAAAAAGTACTAAAAAATTATGCTTATGAAAATTGGGGAGGATGGTCATGAAATATTTCCCAGTGGCACTGATGTCTGATCTAAAGACCTGGGGACACAGTGAGGGACAACCTAAGTAAGACACCTCTTTTGGGAGACCTACTTAGGTTGTTTGATAGGCGGGATAGAACATGATATACTAATGGGGGGAAATCAGGCAGGAGAGCAATAAACAGAGGGCAAATAATGTAAAAGTATACTTAAACAGTAATCAGCGCAGGTGAGGGTGTGGGGAGAGAGGGACCTTGTACTGTTGGTGGTAGTGCAAACTATCACTGTGTAAACCAGTATAAAGGTTTCCCAAAAAATAAAACCAGAACTACTATAAGACTTAGCTCCGCCAACCCCGGACATGTAGCCAAGAGAGTCTATATCATACACAGAAATAATTGCATACCCATTTTATTGTTGGTCTACTCAGAGTAGAAAAGGAATGAATCAGCCTGGTTATCAACCGACAGATGAATGGATAATGAAGTAAGTTTATTTAAATCAACAGATTAAAAATATTATCTAAAATATACTAATTATTCAATCACTGAATTTGTGAACATTTTAACACCGTGTCTTTAGAACCCGACGTCTAGTTTCCACTCACAGTGCATCTCTATTTGCTCTTCTTCCCTTCCAGGGGCTCAACTGCTAGAGGCAGACAGTGACTATTATCTCGGGTCCTGACGCTGACATTAGAGATCTGGACTGGACAACATCAGACTGAGTATGAAGGGTGAAAGAATGGAGAACCAAACATGAAATGATGGGTAGCAAAAGTCAGCTTCCAAAGGGAAATAAAAGCTGGAAAAGGAATTCCATGAGTGGGCAGTGCTGTGTAAACAGGTGTTGGACAGATCACGGAATCCGAATGGTGTCTGTGAAAGGGTAGTAAGACTATAAAGGAAGGAAAGAGTTTAGTGATTGGGACGTCATTAAGGAGCCGTCTTAAAGGCAGCTTATGCAGCAAGATAATGAAGCAGACTTCACAGTGCGGGGTAAAATGGAGCTGAATATTATAAATATTGAATACAGCCTATCTTTTCAAGAATCTTAGTTTTGAAAGCTAGAAGAGAATTAGGGGATCTGGGGACGAATGTAAAAAGATAATAGTTACTCTCAAAGGTGCTACAGATAGTCAAAGAATTTTGCATCAAACGGCTTTAATCTTTAAAACTGCAATATGGTTTCTTGCTGCCTTCACCTCCACGAATAAACTCATTATGAGAACAAGATTGTGAAAGTTAAATAATTCCCTTAACAATCACAGTAAAGCGGTGAAGCTCTGAACCAATGGAGAGACTGACTCCAGTACAAGAAGGAAGAATGGACCACAGGATGCCCTGTGAAGGCTTCCAGAGCACAACAGTTACAAACAACTTTGGGCAAGAACAAGTTATCAAATAAATATAAAAACTGCAAGGCTGGATTAGGACCTATTTAAATTTGTATGCTGGGAGCTGGAGGCTAAGCTAGTTTCTGTGAATTGGTTTCAACTTCCATGGAAGAGAAAGCACAGATTTACTTTAAGACTGAGATGGGGGAAATCTACAGTAAGTAATAAAGTCATGGTAGAAATCTGATGGTGATTGAAATAAGTGATTAAATATGTTAACATACATGTTTTTATTTTTTTAGGACACCTGATTATAAAATTCACAACAAAAGCCCTGAAGGTTTTAATTGTGTGAAAAACTCAAACTACAAACCATTACAGTCTATATACTAAATTATGTGTCAGTAAGAGTCTACATTCTGTTGAACAGACAGGCACTGTGAAGTGTGGGAAGCGCTAGTGACAGTCACAGCAGCAGCTTTAGGAAACCTTCACAGGTTAGATGAGGAGCGAACAGACGCCATGGGGTCTGACAGCAGAACTGAGTGTGCTCAGAGCCCTAAGGAGGCTCTGGTGAAATATCTACTGTGAAAGGATTCTTACTTTACTCCCACCTCTAGGCAAACCAGAAGGCAAAAAAGCCAAAAACCAAACAAACCAAAAAACCCAACAAAAAACAAAATTTTGAAAATTCATTATCAATTACCTATGTAGTAAATCGTTTATTATAGAAAGAATTCTAAATCTTTCATTGTCTTAAAGATTATATGCTTTTAGCTGACAAATTATTAGCAACAACACAGACGGACTGACAGGCAAACAAGAAGACACTGGGAAAGCGATTCAGGAGCATGATTGAAAACTCTGAGACGAAGCGACACTTAGAACAAAAGTGGCAGACACATGTAAATCAGGGAGAACACAAAATCAGCCGTTTTCATGACGCTCCTCAACGAATAAAAAGAACTAAACGTCAATACAGGCGGCTCTACACCGCTCACCTTCCCACACAGCTAAGCGCATTTTCCTAGAGCCTACTAGGCCCTGGGTTCATTGCTAGCACTGAGCAAACGACCAACAAAGGAAAAGATGAGTGTGTACCTCTGGGACGGAAGCTTCCATCAGAGACAGTGGAGGAGGGACACAGCCACCATCTTGTGCGATTTCTACCGGCTGATAAATAACCTCGGACGGCTGCAGATATAAGAATGGAGCAGAAGAGGCAGGGGACTAAAACACAAAACGGTCCTCGTTATTCAAATACGAACAGTGTGCTAAGCCAAAAAGACTTACCCTAAAATGAAAAAAAATTTGTTGCATATATTTCGAAAATTATTTTTCAAGGATAGTATAGAATTATCTTAGAAACAGACTAGGAAATCAGAGTTCTCATACATTTCAGGTATATAGGTGTTATTAAGTAACTTTATTAATGGCAAGTACTGAATGTTTCTTGTGCACAAACAGGTAACTGTAGATATACTACTGTCACTAAAAGTTATAATCATACGGCCTATCATATTTAGGTGTAAGTGCCTACTGTCAATTTCTGGACTTAGCTATAAGAAAATGCCACTAGATAATTTTTTTTGGTAGTATAGAATCTCTAAGAAAAAAATGGAAAAAAGAGTACAGGTTGAGCACCTTTGAGGTGTCATAATTTAGAGAGGATTTTGGGTTAGGAGTGTTCATCCAATAATAGCTATGTAAATATTCCCAAATTCCAAAATATTAAAACAGTTTTCGTCTCAGTAGTTTCAGATAATGAATACTCAACCCGTTTTTATTTATTTTAACTGAGATAAACTAAAGCAAAATCTGAAATGAAGCTAGAAAAATGCCAACATTTCCAACAATAACGAAAGTAACGATTATTTTTTGTTCATATATCACACCTTTATAAACGCTTCCCACTAATATAATCTCATTTCATCGTCCCAAACATCATGGAAGAAAACTTACAAGGTTCTACCATCACTACATCCATCTTACAAATGAGGAAGCTCTGAGGTAACTGCAGGAAATGTCACTTCTTGCATGTTACAAAGAAGGACAGAGAGCCCCGCAGTTACAGGAAATACGGTTAGAAATAGAGGAGGAAGGGAAGAAGCCTACTTATCATGACTTTAGTGCTCAGAGGTTTTTTTTAACTGAAGTACAGTGGAAAAAAAAGACTTTAAATCAGACACTGTAGGTTGACATTTACCTGGGGAACCCCCCACTGCCACTGCCCTGGTAAACACTGTGCCGGGGCCTACAAGGAGAAACAACAAACACACAAGTAGGTTACACACAAGGCTAACTAGACATTTCCATGTAAAAGAATGAAGCTGAATTTTCAAGACATATACAAAAGTTAACTCAAAATGGATTAGAGCTCTAAATACGGAGGCTAAAATAATAGTTTTAATGAAAAATTAGAATATGAAGGTAGAAATTTTCATGACTTTGAATTAGGCAATGTTGTAAAAGTTATGCTTTAAAAATATACAGAACACCTGGATGGTGGTGGCGCACGCCTTTAATCCTAGCACTCAGGAGGCAGAGTCAGGTGGATCTCTGAGTTCGAGGCCAGCCTGGTCTACAGAGCAAGTTCCAGGATAGCCAGAGCTACACACAGAGAAACCCTGTCTAGAAAACACCCAAAATGAAAAAACTGTCCCCCCAAAGCCACATAACAAAGAAACAATACTAACAAGAGCTGGATAAACAGGACTTCATTAAAACTCCTAAAATTTTGAGTGCTATAAAGAGCACCATCAACGAAGTAAAATTTAACCCAGAAGAGGTGAGAAAATATCTATAAATCATAATTTTATAAGGAAATTTTATCTAGAAAGGTTATACAAAAAGCTTTATTTATTTTTTTATGTGCAATACTGCTGATTCAACACAAGGCCTAACAAATACTTTGCAAGCATAAAAGAGCCATACTCTAAGTCCCCCCAAAATATACAAACCTTTCTTAAGGCTATAGGAATAAAAAATCCCTTTTTGTGCTTTTCAGTTTACCATAAAGGAGGCACGGGAAGAGATACTCCATGGGATGGGATTTTCTTCTTACTTAGATGCAATGAATCAGTTTTGCATTTGAAGGAGTGCATATTTAGAGAAAAGGAGGTGGTTATTTCTCTAGATTGATCTTACCACAGACTTGCTATACTCAACCTACAATTATCTGTATTTCATTATGACACTTCCACACAGGCATACAATGTATGTTAGTCATGATCACCCCTATGCTCTTACTATCTCATCTAATTCTTTTTCCCTCTTCTTTTCCACACTTTGCAGTTTCTAAGCTATGAGAGAGAAGATATGCTTTTCTCTGACTTGTTTCTGTGGGTCTGAATTACTTCATAACACGATATTCTGTTCCATCTTAGATCCTGCAAATAACATAATTTCATTCTTCTTTATAGCAGAGTAAAATGCTATCATGTATATATATGGTACTTTTCTTTATCTGCTGATTGACACAGGTGTGAACAACTGAGTCGTAAGTTAGTTCTGATCTTAGAAGATGTTCCATACTGATTTCCATGGTGGTTATACTGACTTACAGCCCCATCAGCAGTGAATACGGCTTCCTTTCCTCTATATTGCTTCCAGGATTATTTGCTGTTTTCTTGATGGTAGAAAGAAGAAAAAGACCAAGTTTTCTCCTTTAAAAACATGGTTTTGGCTGTCATTGAAACCTCAACCTCTTCTCACCACCACCCAGAGGGCAGCTGGTTCTCAGCTGTTCCTGGTTTATTTCTGGCAGCTGCTAGTAAGGCCTGGAGTAGTCTGCCATCTTAGTCTCCATAAAGAACGTCTACAATGCTGATGAAAACACAAGGAAACTAACTTAAAAATAGACAAATGATGTGAGCAAAATTTCCTCCAAAAAAGCATATGTGTATGTCAATAGTGAAAAGACGCCTGCTATCACTAATCCTTAGAGAACTATGTCTCAAAACCACCAGTGTGATACCATTTGGTGCCCACTTTGGCTACAACCAAACACTGCAGAGGTGGAGCAACTGCAGCCTTTCAGCCTGCTGGTAGGAGTCTGAAGATAATGTGTGCAGTGCTTTAGACTGCGAACCTTCCTTAAAATGTCAACACACAAAATTATCATGTGACCTATCGAATGCACCCCAGGGGAAATGAAAACATATATCTACATAAAAACCTAACTACCTGGGAATGGTGGGTCAGCCTTTAATAACAGCAGTTGGGTCTCGGGAGGGCAGAAGCAGATGGAGCTCTGTGAGTTCAAGGCCAGCCTGGTCTACATTTTGAAATCTACAACAGTCAGAGAAACAACAACAGACTTGACACCAATTTTCATTAAAGCGTTCTTTAGAGTAGTAAAAAGGCAGAGACAATCTAAACGCCCGTCATCTGGAGACTGGATAAACAGTGGTTACACCCACATAGGAAAGATTTTACTCCAGAAAGAAGCACTGGTCCACAGCACCTAAAAAACTTGCTAAGTGAATTAATTCAATCATGGAAAACTGTTGGATGGCTCTTTTTATAAGAAAAAAATGCCCAGAGTAGTAAAGTCTAAGAAAGGTTAAAAAAAAATACTGCTTGACTAGGGTTTGGGTAGGAAGAAAAAGGTATGTCTGCTAATGGTTACAGTTTTTCTTAAAAGGGAGTGGTAAGTAGTCTATAATATTGGTATGACTATATGTCAATTCTGTGTTTAGTACAAACTACTCAATTGTATACTTTCAATGACTGAGCAATACAGCATGCAAATTTGATCTAAATAAAGTTAATGATCTTGTATTATCAAGTATTTTACTTTTATTCATTTTATAAGGTCTTCATACTGAAGGAGGAGAGAGGGAAGAGGAGGGAGAGAGACAGCAGAGAGACAGAGAGGAGGGAATAAGATCACAAACCCTTAGATCTATTCTCTAAACCTAATCACTGTAATAAGTACAATGCTGACCACGTTAACTCCCGAAAGACTGCACCATTATATTATAATGATGACTAAGAGAAATGAAATCTGTTCTATATAGGACATTTAAAAACACAGGATAAAAGTCCCTGATTAACATGTGGCTTTGTTAGACAAATGGAGTGAGTGCCTACAATGTGAAGAACAGTACTACAGAGGTCAGCACCCTCATTACTAAGCCGGGGGTTACCTGGTGTGAAGAACAGAGCCTGAGGAAACCATCAGTCCTCACTTTAGTCTTGTAATTAGTGTCAAACAAAGTCAGAGTCCGTGTATAAACTTAAATTATAGTTTCTAAGTCAGTAATTAGTATTTATTGCTATTATTAATAATACAGCTATATCAATAATTAATAAAGGAGCTGCAAAATCCAACTTTATTCTTTCTCACGTCTGATACTTTAAAAGCACTACATTGTTTTTCCTTGTTCCTGGGTTTTACGAGAGCAAATCCCTGCTTTGGAGTTTGGCAGATTCCAGACACCAGCTGTCTGGTATTGAGCGCTACTAGAGTCTCTGATGACACTCCTGTTAGGAGCTTCTGATTGTAGGGTCACATTCTTTTGTACAGATTCTTAGCTGAGGTCATCCATACTTCTTCCGACAGGTTACAGCTTGTTTTGAGGAAACATGAACCTCTGCTGTAACGGATGCCTACTACAGCCTCTTCCCTGGCTCTGCCGACATGCTCTTTTGGTGTTTCGTAGGAGCTCAGGTCCCAAGGTGCCAACATCTCCAGCTTCAGCAGACAGGTTGAGTTCCCCGTGTCATTCTCTGAGGTCCTCCGTACTTGGCTGAAGAGATGTGGCTCTGCCATTGCACGCTAACAAATCTCCATTAGGCTCACATTCCTCTGACACGTGAGCTACGGGGGCAATGGACTAAGGGTTTAGGAAGCAGTTTCACAGGACTTGGGCCATTCATTTTAACTGGAGTGGTGTCTAATCTGTCTTTAGTCTCAACTGAAATCCTATGGCTTAGGAAAAGCCATGCTGTCAATATATTTTAATATATTTTAAATAAATGCCATTAAGTTACTTTTATTTTTCATAAGTGGAGAAAATACCTAGTTTATTAGTGTAGTAAAATTAAAAATAAGATTAATTAAAAATACAAAAATGAAGTCTAACATTAGTGGGATGGAGAGATGGCTCAGTGTTTACTGTTCTTCTAGAGGACCCAGGCTCTGTTTCCAGGACCACACAGTCTGTAACTCCAGTTCTAGGGGATCTGATTTCCTCTTCTGGCCTCCAAGGGCATTGCACACATATGGTGCACATAATTTCATGCAAAACATTCATACACATAGAATAATATAATCATAATAGTAAGGACTATAGAACACTAACACAGTTTTTCTTTTGGAGATAGGATGTCATATACTCAGACTGGCCTCCAATGTCTATATAGTCAAGAGAGATCCTCCTGTCTCCACCTTCCACTTCCAATTTCGGCGGCACTGCAGATACAACCAGGGCGTCATGCACGCTAGGTAATCACTCTATGAACTAGGCAACAACACCTGCCTTTCTTTCCTTTCTCATCTTTTCACACGGCTAGTAGTAAAATCCATGGCCTCACCCATGATGAGGAAGAATTCTACCACTGAATTTCACTTCTAACCCTGCCACATTTCATATGGGTGTATTTTTAAAGTAAAAAAAGAAAAGAACAGGGACAGAAACAGAAAGCTCTTCTACTACTTAATAAGTGTTAAAATTTGATTTTATGTGCAAATGTTATAGATCATAGGCTGACAAAAACTTTTGAAAGAAAGGCTAGAATAAATGTTTTAAAATGTGAATGCAGGCTATAAGGTCTGTTAGAACCACACCACCTTTGAAAGCAAAGGCAACCACAGATGCTACATAGATAAATTAGGCTGTAGCTCACTAATGCTTTATTTATAGAAGCAGGTTGTTACCCGAATTTTGTCTAAAAGTCATTGTTTACCCTGCCAAAAATTAAATGAGCTGACATTACACCACAGTTCTTATTGCTAATCTCCCATGAGAACTAAGAATGAGTGCTGGCTAGCTAAAGGAGGTGAACGTAACAGTTAACACATCATAGTACCCTGCTTACTTCAACACACACTGGATTAAATCTACCAGTCACACATTCAAAGTAACATTAAAAGCACAACATCTGTACCTGGATTTATGAATTACTGCTAAAGACTTTTCTGTGGGCTGGAAAAGAAACCCAGGGCACTCCAGATGCTGTGAAAAGCATTCTCCCACTGTGCTACGTCCCAGCCTATGAAAGGCATTTCAGAATAAATTTTAAACAGCAGAGAACTGAATTCATTACATTTGTGAAAGGAAGCAAATGCATCCTCTCTCAAGACTTAACTCTCTTTCCTGAATTAGTCTTTGCGTATAGAAGAAAAGCATGAAATACCTGAAAGGACTTAAAATACTGGACTCTTAAAAACATTGTGCTTGGGATCCAATCTCGTCCCTCCTACATGCTAAGCAACCTGGAGCTATTTTCTTCAGCACACAGAGTGTACGTGTATGTGTGTGTGTGTTGTGCGTGTGTACATGAGGAGACCACAGGCTGGTTGGGGCAGGTATCGTCCTCTTGCTCCCCCCATCCCTTGAGACAGCCTCTTTAAGGGTTCAGCTGGCTGGCAAGTGAGCTCAGAGACCTGCTGCTGCCCGTCCCTGCACACGGATTACAGCCACATGCCTAGATCTTTGAGCAGTAAGTGTTTTCCCCTTGAGCCATCTCCCCTGGCTCCTCAGCCCAGAGGTTTTAGTGAACTCAGTGCCTACCTGGTAGTGATATGCAGGTTGCTGATAAACTGGCTGAGCTACCATCACGGGAGAACTAGATATGGACCGTGACTGTGGGAGGAAACAAAATTTACTTTAGGAAGAGCTCTTCAAATTACAGTAAAATTTGATCTTCAGTTATTACCTAAGCTCAGTTAACTTTTTGTTATTGATTAAAATGTTATATTTTTTCCTCTTATGGTATTATTATCAACTTTATTTAAATCTATTTATTAAAATAGTTTTCCTATGTGACTTCATTTCCATAGCAATACTAAAACGAACACCAGTGATGTTTCTTTAAGTCTGAAACTTAACACTTCCAAAGGTGATGACAATATAAATCATTTCCCTGGAGAAACCAGAAGTGAGTTGTTTACACCAGTGGTTAGCGTCAGATGAGTGATCGTATTGATCTTCCTGTTACTGAGTACCAGCATTCTAGTCCATTATTATATAGCCAATTAAATAAAACACTATGAGACAGTGAAATCATGTTTAAGAAATTTAATTTTGGATTATTAAGTAAGTTAATAATCCAAAAATTGTGATAGGTCTGTTTTTGAGGAAAACAAAGTATTTTTTGATTATTCAAAATGATAGAGTAAGCCCCCAAATACATTACTCAAGACCAAGTAATTAATAAGACAGGTAAGTTATATTTCAATCAGGTAAAATAAACCGATGATAGTGATTAAAATTTAATTTCTAATTTGGAATGTAGTATGCTATTATTTTGTTTAGATGCCTATAATCCCAAAGTCAAGAGAAATATTGTGCATTTATACAATTCAGATTGGTATACTAATAAAACTATAGTATAGATAAGGCTAGAAAGTAATGGTATATTTTACTGTTTTTATGTTAAAGGAGGAAAATGACCATCTCAGCAGACAAATGCACTTAAATTTGCCTTTTTATGATGAAAACTCTTAGCAAACAGAACAGAGGATAATACAGGAGGATACTGTCAGCCATAATTGATTTTGCCTCCTACGACATCTGCTATGCTAGAAGACACGCTTGACTGCCATAATTACGGCAGAGATGCTTTTAACCACTTTAGCATGCCCTGAATAATATTTTACAATAGTGAAATATTCGGCCCCAAGTGGAAATAATGCCAAGACTTCAAAATTCTGGTTCATAGTGTCTTCTAAAGCTAATGCTGGGGTCACCCGGGAAAGGCCACACCGTTAAGCTGATCCTTCATGGGATGGGTTGGCAAGTGAGCATGTTGGATGTGACCTAGTCTGCTGTAGCGTTGAGGGAGCGGTTTTAGGAAGGTATGGACTCCGGTGGTTACAGAGTACCAGATATAAACAAGGGACCCACAAAAGCAGGTCCAATTTCATCACAGTAATTCTAAATTCACAAAATGAACACCACAGAAAAAATCACAACATGCTTGGACTTGAAAACTGTGCTTTTTTTGGGTCTGTTTTGAAAACAGGTTTTGCTGTGCGTCCCTGGCCTTCCTGGAACTTCCTCTGTAGATCAGGCTGGCCTCAAACTCGGAGTGTACCTGTTTCTGCCTCACAAGTACTGGAATAAAGTTGTGGCCACCACCCGGTGTGGACTGTGCTTTAGAGGACATACAGTGTCAAGAAGAATTTAAGCTTGAGGACTTAAATAAGCCAGAAATAACCATAAATAGTATTTTTACATGTAATATTCTGTTTTGATGTTCACCTACTCACATTAAGAAGACAATTTGGAAGTTGAAGATGAATAAATGCTAAAGAAGGGTCTCTTCATTTTTTTCCTGCATCTCATTTATCAAGGTTGCCATCATAACCAGGATTATCATAACCAGGACTATCAAAATTGACTATTTACATTGCTTCTGACTTAACAGTGAGGGTAAATATAAACTTCATAATATATATGAGATTGATATTACACTAAACATTAAGATTCGTGAGAGGTTTTCTATGGTTAGATAACACATTTATTTGTATTTTGTGTATGTGTGTGGATGTCAGAGGCTGGTGTTGGGGAGTCTTCTTTGATGACTCTACACTTTATTGAGACAGGGTGATTCCAGCTTTTATGCGGATTATGAAAACTGGTGCTAACACCTTCAGGGCAAGCTCTTTATTCACTAGGCCATCTCCACAGTCCACAAATTCGCATAAAAGATTTGTTTTACTATCTTAGGTATAAGAGTGTGCCTGCGTGTGTATTTGAGTGTTAAAGTACCTGCAGAATTCAGACAAAGGGGCTGGATCTCCTGAAGGTGGAGTTACAGGAAGTTGTGAGTTGTTCAACATGGGTCCACAAAGTGTCAACAGCTTAGCTCTCAAAAATATAACATTTAAGTTAAAAGCAGACTACTGATACAGTGTTTAAAAACGCCCCAAGGAGCTCCCTACATTTATCTGTAATAAGAATATAGAAAATGAAGAAGATATTCTGAAGAAAGGATAAAAGGTATGGAAATAAGGAAACGACCTAAATTTGCTGTATTTTATTTCCTCTTTGGAAAGAACTTAAATTATATTTGTTAAATTTGGGTAGTAGGGGCACAACTATATTTGTATTTGTTTGTGCTTTAACTATCTCAGAATCAGGGCTAAAGAGATGGTTCAGCGGATAAAGGCTCCCAGGGCCAATGTGGTGGAAGCAGAGAACCAGCTCCTGAAAACTGTACTCTGACATCCACTGGCTGACACAAACAATACATAAATACGAAAAATTAATCAAATACATAAGAATAAAAACAAGTCTTTAAACATATCTGGTAGAAACTCTTCTAAAATGAAAACTCCTTACAGGCCAAGACGGTGGGACAGAAGTGACCTCTGGAGTATGGAAGTAAGCCACGCCGTTGTGGTAAGTGTAAGGGTATCCAGTCGACGTGGTCAGGTACATCGTTCCAGCAGCAGGCATTATACTGGAACCTAAAACAAAGAATAAACAGCAAAGTCTTTAAGTTTATAAACACAAAATTTATTAATACACTTCAGAAAAATAGTTTAAGATTTCTACATTGCTACAGTAAAAACTAAAATACTTAAAACGCTATGTATTCTAGTATCTTCGAACAATCCATTTTATAATACCTCAGAGTTATAGATTATAGGGATTAACAAACAAGGTAAATTAATATAAAAAATCCTTCATTTCAAATTCTCATGCTAGTCTAATGAAACAATTTAATTATCAGTAACTGAATTATTATTTTTATAAATATTAACTATGTAGAGAGCCTGAAAACTATGGTAAAGTTCCTGAGATCTTGGCTGGACCTATTCTTAAAAGTCCAGAGATGATGGAGACAGTGAAGCTGGAGAAGATTGGATTCATTTTCCTAATTCTTTGGGTTAATAGCAGCATTTACTCATGACCCTCTTATCTATACTTTCCCTTTCGTTACAACTTCTGCTATTATAACCATGACCATACTCCTTGAAGTTAGTCTAGGACCTCCACCACCTCCCTTCTTTCAGTTCAGGATTCACACACACACACACACACACACACACACACACACACACACACACACACTCTGTCATTGAGTGAGACTTTAAAAGCTACATAAAGGTCAGGGAAGCATGATCATGACGATCTGGGACTTGAGTTCAGACCCCAGCCCCTGTATAAAAGGCCATTTATGGCAATATAACCCTAGTCTTGAGGGTGGGTGGGGAGGGGATGGAGACAGGCAGACAGCCAGAGCTGTCAGTGAATACCAGGTTCAGCGAGACACTTCTGTCTCAAAAATAAGGCGGAGAGCAACAGGAGAGTGTACTGTAGGTCACCCACCGTCTCCCTCCACATGAGCACCTGTGTGCACACGTGCAAACATAAACAAAAGGAAATGGGAAGAGAGTTAAAATGTGCTGAAAATAAAGTAACGTAAACTCGTGTGCTTTTTCAATACTGCTTTGCTGTTTTATGACTGATTAGGCGGCGGTAGCAGCAGACTGCACACAGAAGGGCCCACGAGGAGAGGTTTCCCAATGACGAAGGCAAGTAGACCAGACTGTTGGGAATACAATGTTGGTAATGAAATAAAAAAGAAATGACAGATTTGAGAAAAAAACTAATATATGAGTCTCTTATAATTGCAGAAATAAATTTTAGTATTTATTTTTATTTGGAGAGAAAATAAAAATAGCTTTGTAGTCTATAAGTCTTGGAACAGAGGCTAATACTACAAGCTAATCCTATACTTCTCCATTAGAATACGGGGTTTTACTCCAGGAGACAAGGTAGAGGCTGAACATGGTGTTCTTACAGGGGCACTTTAATTCAAACAACTGTTATTTTAATGGAAAAAGTTTATCTTTAAATAATCAAATGACGGATACTAAGAAACAGAATGCAAATTATCCATGAAGATTTTACATAAACTAAGACTTCTAAGAAAATATAGAATTCCAGTGTACAATGGATTAAGAGCCACAGCTGGCCAAGGTCAATTTCCCTCTATTATTGAGAGTATTTCAGCAGAAATGTCAACTGGTGTTTCCATTATTCAGGTCTCGTTTAGTAGACTACATTTCTGAATTTCATAGATGCAGCTAAATGGTTTAAAATGACTTTCATCTTTAAGGCAGATATGTGTATTGTATAAACAGAGCGAGCACTTCTCAAGTTGGCTTTTCATGATATATAAAAAACTGCAACAATGGCTCTTTTGCTCATTAGTTCTGAATAAACTATTTGTGTATGTGAAAGCAATCAGTAGACAATGGGTCAAAAACTGTTGGTACAATTATTATAGTTAAACTCTTACAAACAACAGTATTCTGAAAATATTCAGAATCCTGCTATATTTAGTATAATCATCTCTCTGCCTCACGCCCAGTCCCTCCGTGTGTGTCTGACTACTTATGAACTTGCATGCAGAGGCCAATGTTGATGTCAAGTATCTTCTTCAATCATTTTCCATTTTAATTTTAGAGATAGGGTCTTTCACAAACACAGAGTTCACTGACGGCTCAACTAGATGGCTGGCCAGTCAGCCCCCATCCTCTGGCATCCGCCTCCCCAGCTCTGGGATCTCAGGCACGTGCTGCCATGCTTTGTATTTACGCGGGCTCTAAGAGATCCATTCCAGTTCTCATTCTTGCAGCAAGCACTTTACTCAGACAGCTTTGCAGTCCACCATACATTTTGTAATAACTAAGTTAACCAATGCTGAGTCAAAGTTAAAATACCTGATAACTGCTGTCCACAGAACACTTCAAATTAACACAATCTATAAAATTGTTGACAGTGATATGAATTAACAGCCTAAGGTTTTACATCCCAGCAGACACATGATATGACTAAGGAAAAACAAAATTAGCAACTATTTTATAGAAATCTTCTTTAATAAACAAAACTACAGAAGTGCTTAATATAAAAAGTTAAAGGAAAAAAAGAGTATTATAAAAATTTGAGGAAGGCATACACAAAAGTTATCTAACCCAAAGATTTAGTGATTGTTTTCTCTGATATTTAGGACACACGTGTTTTGACTAAAAAGCACATGCAGTTACTTTTTTGTTTTTAGTTATATATTTTTACTTTCTATACTTTGGCTAATTTAAAATATTTCCATAATCACAAATACTTTTAATTAGAATTCTAAATTTATTTAGCTATTTTAAGTGATATTTTCCTATAATTTTTTCTTTTGAATGTATGTTCAAGGATGAAATACCTGGGTCTTTATTGTTCAATTTATAAACAGCAAGGAAGTAGACTCTGCCTAGAAGCCTGTCTGCAGATGAATGGATAATGAAAATGTGGGCACACATTCATATACACAGAAGGATTTTATTCAGCTGTAGGGAAAAAAGGTCATTCGACCCCCCAGTGGGGTTGCAACACACAGGCTGAGAACCACTGATACAATTTCTATGATATACGAAGAACAAAAGACTGGACCCCACGAAAAAAACCAATTAGAAATGGGGTACAGAACTAAATAGAGCTCTCAGTAGAGGAGTCTCAAATGGCTGAGAAACACTTAAAGAAACTTCAACATCTTTAGTCATCAGAGACATGCAAATTAGAACTACTTCGAGCTTTCATTTTACAGCTATCAGAATGGCTAAGACAGATAAAAGCCAGGTCACGCTGTGTGGATGTTGGGTCAGGGACCAGTCATTCACTGCGGGTGGATCCACCGTCAATGCAAACTGTAAAGAAGTCTGTGTGGTGACTCCCCAGGAAGCTGGGGTAACCTATCTCAAGGTCCAGCTGAACTAACTCTCGGGCATACACCCAAAGGACTCTGCATCCTACTCCAGATACACCTGCTCAAGTATGTCTGCGTGCAGCAGCTTTACTGTAATAGGCAGGACCCACAGATGAGGGGTTCAAATGACTCCTATGACATTCTCCTGTACCTGTAAGTCCGCGCCTTCTTCTGCCACCATCCTGCAGGAGATGGGGGCTAACACAGAGACCCTAACAGGACAATGCACAGGGTAACGGATTTTGGAAGCGCTTGGAACATCTGAAGTGGGATGTCTCCATCAGCTCTCCCATCCCTGCCATCAGGGCTCAGGAGCTATGTAGAAGAGGAGGAGGAAAGACTAAAGAGCCACGTGGGATGAACTGACACCAAGGGAACAGTGTGAGACACCAGAGGACAGATGCACATTATGAATTAATTCACAGACGGTGGCAGCAATCAAGCCAGACGCGGTCCCAGCACTGAGGTAAGGAATGGACAGGAGCTCCCACCCCTAACCAAGAAGCTTACCTGCAGCTGACAACTGCTTATCAAGAAGAACTTTGCTTTCACCAATGGTGTCTCACTGGGCGTACTAACCACTCTTAAGAGTAGGCCCCATGCCCAGGAGATAGCCGACACAAAAGGAATGCAACTGTATTTCTTGCATTTTTGGCCTCATATTGTTATACCTGAACATTTTTTTAAAAACTTACTCATCTTTTACTTGTATATTATGGCTTTTGACTCTTGTTTTTATGGTTTTGTTTTTGTGTGTCTGTGTTACTTGTGCTTTTTCACTTTTTTAAAGATTGTTTTTAAAATGTATCTGTCTTCTAAAGAGAGAGAAAGAAATAAGGGGTGGAGGTGGATGGGTGGGGAGGATCTGGTAAACTGTGATCAGAATATACTCTATGAATTTTCAATAAAAAGAAAATGTTATCATGAAACACATTACTTTTTATGCTAATTAAAAATATTTTCCTTTAAACCATAATTAAATAGAATATACTTAACATTGTTCATGTATATTTCCCCTATACCTCAAGCTAAGGTATTTAAATTTCTATTAAAAATAGTTATATGACTACCAACTTTGCTAAAATAGCTATTAAATAAAGAAACAATATTTTAATAAAATGTCTAAAATAGTCTAATAGTTCATAAAAGGATCATGCAAATATTAAAAAATACATTAGTTCTCAATACATACGAGGAATCCCTATTTGTTGTTTTCTTATTGCTGGACCAATGTTCAGTTTCTTATCTTTGTAATTAAGTTTTTCAGCCTAAAATAAAGGAAAAAGCCCATCACCATGATTTGTAAAAATCATTTGACATCATGATTTGTAAAATTTGACACCATGATTTGTAAAATCAGTGGAGAAAAACCAGTATGAAACTAGCAGACATTATGTGACGATTTCTTCCTCTTTTTTAAAGTACAGGTCTCACGAGTTCCAGACTGCCCTCACATCTGGCGTATTACTGATCTTCTGATCCTTCTGCCTCAACTGCTCAAGTGCTGCAATTGAGGGATTTGCCACACTGCCTGGTGTATGTGGTGCTGGGAATCAAGTTTGCTAGCAAAAAGATGTTCTGAGATCAAGTAAGTGTCTTTATCTTGGCTCCACTGCTGTGCATCTCGATGGTGTAGTAATCATCATTAGTTGCTGATTGTGTGTTTGCACTCAGTCTGTGAAGTTCATGTGCAATACTAACCACTATTTACAGTTATTTCCAGGTTATTTGCGGTATTACAGAAAATGCGAGTAGTTAACACAAAAGCACCCAGTTAGAGCAAAATGTTTTTTTCTTATTCTAGTTATCATATTATAATAAAATGTCCTTTTAAGATGTTTTTCACATTATGTGCTATTTTTTTAAACAATAAAATGTCTCACAGGTGCTGAAGTTCTAGCTAATGTTCCTAAGCACATGAAGACTGCTCATGGATTTTATGGAGAAAAAGTGTTGTCATGCTTAATTCAGGCATTACAGTCCTATTGGCCACGAATCCAATGTCAACGAAATATACTGTTTATCACGACTTAGATGTGAAGTGTGCATTCCCTCCACAAACATGTTCACTTGTTGAATGCTTTGTCCAAATGACAGCTCCAACCATAGGAGGTGGTCAGATGAAAAGGATCGGATCTAACAGATCACTGCTGAGTTAGTAATCCTACAGCATTATTGGATGTGATGGGACTGTTAAGGGCAAGGCTTAGCTGGAGGAAACAAGCCGTGATCGCATATTTCTGAAAACTAGCTCCTCACAGATCCCTTCCTCAGCCACCTCTGCTTCCTGCCACTCACTGTCACGGGTTCCGCCTGCCTGGGCTCCACAGCACAGAAGCAGCGGCTACCAGCTGGAGCCTGTGAGACCCTGAGCTGACATCATCTTTCAAGCAGCTGCTCTCAGATCTCTGTGACAGGCAATACAGGCTTTGCGAACACAATTTCTTTAAGCAGCAACACATGAAACCAGGTCATGTGTTAATTCACTGGCAGCAATACTGGGACAAGAGGATTTTGAAACCTTATCTTGTATTCCAAATAGGACACCAGAAGTTCAGTACCCACTAATTCAGTTTTATGGTGACTATAGAATAAAAAACTATCAAGGGTAAGAACTGACTGTGTATGATTTCAATACTACATAATTAAATGACCTTTTTCTAAAAGGTTAAATGTTATACTTGCATATTTTAAAAGATATCAAAGTGAACTACAGGCTACAGACACTTTATTAAAGAATGTTACTGGTTTATGTAGTTTTTCATAGGAAGGAAATAATATCAGGTAATCTTATTCTAGTAATTTACATTTGTAGTATTCCTTAGGAATTACAAAAAAACATTTACACCTCACAGAGACACATTCTTAAATCACTAGTTTAAACAAATAAAATAAAATACACTATAACTTAACAACCATCCTCATGTAATGACTTGTAATGTATTGTTCTTCAGACTGTTTCTTAGGGGTCAATGGCAATCTTAAGATACACACACACATGTATCTGCATATATAGACATACACAGATCCCTGGCTTGCACTCAACTATTATCATAAACAGTTAGTTTTAAAGAAAGAAGTTCCAAAACAGAAGTTAAATACACTGAAAGATCTTACCTCTTGTAAGATTTTTTGTGCATCTTCTTGAGTCTCAAAAGTGATGAAACCATACCTAAATAAATGCATTAAGTATTAATATTTCTTAGAATATTACACTAAATTTTATTTTGGAGTTCAAGAACTGCAAGTTTTTTTAAACCACTGAACTACATGCCTAAAGCTGTATTAACAGTTTTACTGTTTAAGTATTGCCAATGTGGGCATGCCGCATCAGCATGGGCACCACAGATCAATACTGTCATTGAGGATGAATCTATGTGCCTGGTGCTCACAAAAACCGGGTGTCAGATCCCTGGAGCTGGAGTTTAGGTGACTGTGGTCCTCACGTGGGTTCTAGGAACTGAATCTGGAGTCCTCTGGTGGAGCAGCAACTGACCTCATTGAGTCTTCTCCAGCCCCATTCTCGCTGCTTCTTACAAACCAATTAAGCTTTTGTTTATTTTTGTATCTCATTGTTGCTGTTACACACTGGTTTATTTTTTAAAATCTATGTTGTGTTGTCTACAAATTAAATTCTTTCATTTTCTAATTTGGTGAAATATAAATTTTAAAAATATATTCTAATAATTTTCTGAACTTCATTGATTTCTACTGCAATCACTTCCTTTTATCTCTAATTTTGTTAATTTGGGTCTTCTCTTTTTTGGTTAGTCTGGCTACTATCTTATGGATCTTGTTTGTCTACCTAAAGTACTTCAATTGGTTTTTTTCTACTTCCGTTTTTATTAACTTCTGTCCTGATCATGATTCTTTGCTTCTACTGACTTTTTTAAGTTTGTTCTTATTATTTTCTAAGGCTATAAGATCCATTATTATTTATCTGAAATCTGGTTCTAAATGTTCATATTTTCAGCTATGAATTTCCCTCTATGAAGAGTGCCGTCTATCCAATAAAGAATGTCTTCCTTCTATCTCATAAGTTTATGTATGTTATTTCACTTTGATTAAAATAATTTATAAATTTCCTTAATTTTTTGATGCAGCCATCATTCTATAAAATATTATATCTCCGTCAGTCTTGAGTGTTCTAAAGTTTACCTGTTTTTTCTAGCTTTATTCCATGTGCTAAGGATTCAAAACATTTTCACTTTTCCCATATTTGATAAGCCTTGCTTTGTGTCCTATTATATATCCTATTATATATTTTAGAGGAAGCTTTATGGGCCAATTTGAAGACCGTGTACTCTTCAGTGTTTCAGTGCAATCCCTGCGATGTCTGCTAGGTCAGGTTGGTCTATGACGTCATTATCTCAGATGTCCTCTTTTCTCTGCTGGGATGCCTTACAGGTGAGCCTAGAGCACTGCAATAATCCACTATTACTGTGTTAGGGTTAGTGCGTGTCTCTGTACCCCAGGAGTCCCTGCTTTATGAAATTAAGAGCATCAGTATTCGAGGCATGTACATTTAGAATATTTTCTCTTGTTGAATTGTTACCTTAATCAGTTTGAACATTTGTTATCTCTTTTAATTTTTTTTTTAGACACAGAATAGCAACTGTCTGCTTTCTAGTTCCCTGTGCTTGGAGGACCTTTTCCCACCATTCAGCCCTCAAGATTACATTTGTCTCAGATGACAGGGTTTATCTTTAGGCAATAAATTCTATTCTTTATTTCCATCTACTACTCTGTATATTTTGATTATAGAATTTAGTCTATTAACATTTAAAGTTATTACTGAAAGGTGTATTTAATTCCCGTTGTTTGTCAAATTTGTAGTGCTTGGTCTTCTTTCTATTCCATAACTACTCTTCTAGGGTGGTTTACTCTTTCTTGTCGTGTCCTGGATGTGTTTAATTTTGGCTTCTTTCTGAAACCAATCAAGTATCTTCTGAGTGCTGCTTAAGTGGTCATGAATTTCTTCTGCTTGTTTTTTTATCATACAAAAGGAGACTTCAATTATGCAGGATATAGTAGTTCAACTTAATATATTATTCCCTTCCAGTACTTCAAATACATGGTTCCATACTCCCCTGGCTTTAAAGGCTTCTGTAGAGAGATTTGCTATTAATACTGACAGGTCTGCCTTTATATGTAACTTGGTATTTCCTCCTGTGGCTTTCAATATTCTTCTTCACTCTCTGTACTTGGTGTTTTAATTACACTATGATGTGGAAATCTTCTTTTCTGTTCCTGTCCATTTTGTTTTTTACATGTCTTGTGAGTACAGACAGCGTTACTTGTCAACTTGACAGACTCTAAAGCCACTTTAGAGAGAAGCCTCTAGACCTGTGGGGAATTAGCTTGGCTACAACAGCCGCTGGCCATGCCTGTAGATGACCATCTTGTTGGGTTAATTGAGGCAGAATGACCTGCCCATGGTCAGGGGCATTCACACTTCATGACGATGTGATGTGGCCAGCTCAAGTTCCAGCTGCCTTGACTTCCCCATGGGCTGAGCTGTACCCTTGAACTGTGAGTCAAAGCAAACTCTGCGCTCCCTAGGTTGCTCTTGCCAGGGCATTTTTGTATCATAGTTACAGGAGAAGAAACTAAGACAGCTAGCCATCTATTTCTCTAGATTTGGGAAGCTTTATGATATAATTCTATCAAAATATCTTTTATGCCCTAAACCTGGAGTTCTATCCTGATAGTTCATCACTTTTTAAATGTTGTGCATATAACTCATGATGTATTCATGTTTTATTATTTAATCTTTGCTGATACAAGAATTCTACTTCATCTCTCGTTTCCATTTGATCCATTTTATTGGTGAAGCTTAATACTGAATTTTCTATTTGACTTACTGAGTTTTTCATGTTTTCAGTATTTCTTTTTAGTAAATTTCTTTCTCATTCCCTGTACCGACTTTCTTATTGCAGTCAGCTGTTTACATATAATCTCTGTGAATTACTCTAAGTTTATTTTCATACTGTTTTGCTTTGTTAAACATTCGTTTCATTCCCCATCTTGAATTTCACCTAATTCACTCTCATTTGCAGCAATTAATGATGGAATTGACATTTTTGGGCTGTGTAACACTGAGATTTTCGTGTTTCTTAATTACCACATTAAGACTTAGGCATCTGTGGTTATTTTGTTGACTGGAGTTTTTTATCAACTGTATCCTTTAAGCCAAATTATCTGTAACATTTAAAAAGGGCAAGACTGAGGTAGAGTCGAGGTGCACAGCTCAGCAGTGAAACCCTCAGCGCACGCGCCCAGGCACTTGGCACAAGCTCTTTACCACAGTACCTACTGCAGAAGCCACCCTAAAGTTGGGAGGGCCACAGCACAAGCATCATGCAGATAGTTAAATGTAACTACTGGAGGGTCACTACGCTAGGACGGCACAACAGGGCATTAAGGACGGAGGGACTGTAGGCTGAGCAAGGATCAGTATCAGTATCAGGGAAGTTAAAGTTTGGAAGGCTGTAGTGAATAAGAAGTGAGCACGGGGAAGAGAGGAAAACTGCATGGGCTGGGTATAAGAATTCAGAGTATGAAGTGAAGAATGGTTGGAGGACCATAGAGAACAATCACACAGCCTAACCAAGCACAGCATGGACTAAAGCAAGACCACCCTGAGACATTTTCCCAAGAGTAAAGACTAAGAAATCAAACACAGCAACAAAATCCCAAACCCAAGAACAGCCAAGTAACAAAAGTACAATAAGAGTATACCGAGGGTTTATTTATTTATTTATACCCAGGGTTTAAAAAGTCACATTGGATATATTTTTTTTGGAAGATTAAGTTTTGAATTCTTTCCTCACTGTGATGTTTCATGTACTGTATTGTGCTGATGGGAGAGTCTGACTCCCGACCTCAGTTCCCGCTGTTAGATTAGACTGGGAGACAGACGGACTGCGCAGACTCTTCCTGGACTAGACCCTGGTTTAGTGGCACAGTAGTGACAGTGTTCCCCAGTGTTCTGAGGAGAAGGCAAACAGGGCAGCCCCGAGAGCCTCATGTTTGTTTCAGATTTTGTTATTTAGGTCTTTGTCTTGGTTAGGGTTTCTATTGCTGTGAACTGGCACCATGACCACGGCACTGGTATAAAGGAAATCATCTAATTGAGGTGGCAGCTTACCACTGCAGAGGTTCAGTCTATTATCATCACAGTGGGGAGCATGGCAGTTGGGAGTAGGTGGCGCACACACAAACTTGGTGCTTGAGAATTCTACATCTTGATCCAAAGGGAACAGGAAGTGAACTCTGTCACTGGTCGTGGCTTGAGCATATATGAGACCTCAAAGCCCACCACCACAGTGACACACTTCCTCCAACAAAGCTACACACTCCCCCTTGGGGGCCATTTTCATCCAAACCACCACAGTCTTCAATGAGTTTCTTGTTACTCATTTGCTCGTTTGCACACAACCTGAGGCCACTTGTCATTTTACAAGATTTTTGAATCCTCTGTTCAGTACTTATTTTATTATTGTATTTAGATTTGATAATTAAGGAGTTATGATCTTATGGGTTCCCTTGCCTTTTCATGCTTCTTTTATAATCTACTGTTATGGATATTTCTTCAATTTCTTAAGAGGAACCCTCTTGACAGCCTTCTTTTCATGGTGCGAACCTCATTACCACCCACTAAGGAGAAAACAAATAGCTTTAACAGCTACAACACTAAAACAAATCAGGTAGGAAACACACTTAAAATTGATAGACACTAATATGCCCCCAATGACCACAAATCAGGAAAGGGGAAAAATAATGTATAAGCCATCAAGTTAAAAACTTAGGGTCAATGTAAAGGTAGTAAATTATTGAAATGACAGGAGGCTGGGAAAGGGGAAAAAGAAAAACGAGGTGAGGTAAATGAGAGAAATGAATAAGAACACAGAAAAACAGTGAACAACTGCAGGTTAAATCATTCTGCTTGCACAATAATGGAAAATGTATAAACAAAATTAAATATGAAAATAATAAGAGAAAAACATCGCTTTTTGAAAACAAAGTAAAAATACTAACCTATAGTAAGAAAGGGAAAAAAGGATAAATACAAGGCCTCAAAGACACACAAGCAAAAAAAAAAAAAAAGAAAAAAAAACCAACCGAGACAAACATTGGAGCAGTTTCTTTCCGGTCTCTACTGTGTGACAGGTGGTGTGCAGCTGAGAGCTCAGTCGCCTGTCTTCCCTAAGATTAGGCTAGTGTTGAGCCCACACTCGCCAAGTGCTAATATGCTTCAGACTGTCCTCGCTTTAGGATCTTTGCTTTCATTGTGTGCTGGGAGCCTCTATGGCCACAGGTAGCATTGTACTTTGTAGGTCAGGTAGATTCTTCCATGTTCCAGAAGTTCCTTAGTTGGACAACCTGGTACAGCTATTGTCTATGCCAAACAGTGTTGCCAAGGGTTTGAGGAGTAGGGAAGACACACAGGCACTGAAATGTAACCCAAAGGACTAGTCTCAGTGCTCTCAATCCCATGGAAAACTAATCACCTTCTAGGAGAGAGGCGGCTACAGAAAATGCGGGTTGAGTGCTGGATATTCTCTAGCCTGGCAACAGTTAAATCTTATGCCCAGATGAGGCTCTGAGAGTTGGAGTATATGCTAATCTCAGGCTCAAGGCTGCTGCTACTCTCCGCTACTTTTCCTCAGATGTGGCTGTCTCCTAGCCGTGGAAGTTGGAACCTTCATATTCTTCACTGTTGGATCTTCCATTGTCTGAACTTCTCAGCGGCCCAGCCCTTCCTTATTGCCTCCACAACTCTTTTTCATTCAAGAGATGGGACAGGTTGTTTTCAGGCTCTCTGAATTTTAATTGTTGCTTACTGGGTCACTTTTCAGCTGTCCTTCACCTATTCTGTAGTTTCCAATGTTCTTCTAGACTTTCTCTTTCCAGAACAGAATCTTTACTACCCTGATTCTCATTCACTGTGTCACAGAAATGCAATTTCCACTTTAACTTCTCACCTGTGTTTTTCTTTATTTCTTTTTCTCCCCTTTCTTTTCTGTGGTTCCAGGGATGAAGCCGGGGCCTTGTGCATGCTAAGCAACAGCCTTGGCTTCTTTATTTTATTTTGTTGTTGAAAAGGGCAGTAACCCATGCTGGCCTCCAGTTTGCAAAATTCCTGCCTCAGTCTCCAGGATATTTATCAGATTACATCTGACTTCCTATCCTTTTCAATGACAAAAGTATTACCAAAATTAATGTAAATTCTCTTAGCTAAGTGAGAGGGATATAATCTCGACCTCATCTTGATATTATTTGGCAGTTTCAGGAGTTTTTTTTTTTTTACAGTGTTTGTGAAAACACTACCTCTTCCACATTAGCTCCTGCCATTCTCCATGCCATTTCTCATTAATACTCTTTTTCTATCTTATTCGTCCTTCTAGTAATCCTGAAAATATATTTGTTTGGAGAAAACACAACCCTTTATTCATTTCCACTGCCATATCTAATTTTTTTTTTGACTTTGCAACAAAACTTCTGTGAATGCAACATGCAAACTACCTTTCCCCTCTCAGAGAACTCTGGATGTTGTACACAGAGATATTCTGAAACAGCTCTATACATTACAGGGCATAGTCTACTAACTTCAATGTTCATTCTTGTTTTTGTCATTGTTCTATTGCTGTGAAGCAACACCATGATCACAATTCTTATAAAGGAAAGATTTCAGTAGAGCTGGTTTACAGTTTCAGAGGTTTAGTTCACTGTCGTCATGGCGGCATGCAGACAGACATGGTGCTGGAACAGTAGCTGAGAGTTTGACATCTGGATCCACAGACAGCAGGGTGAGAGAGGCACTATGGCTGGCTTTGGCTTTCGAAAGCCCAACAACTCCTCCAACAGGGCCACACCTCCTAATCATTTCAACTAGTACCACTCACTACCTGGTGGCAAGCATTCAAATACATAATGAGCCCATTCTCTTTCAAACCACTGCATTCTACTGCCTGGACACCACAGGCCTGCAGCCATATAATAATACAAAATGCATTAGTTCAACTTCAGAAGTCCCCATAGTCTATCACTGTCTCAACACTGTTTAAAAGTCCAAAGTGCAAAGACTCTTCTGAGACTCAAGGCAATCTCTTAACTGCAACCCTTGTAAAATCAAAATCAAAAACCCTATCACATGCGCCCAACAACAATGGCACAGAATACGTTACCATTCTAAAAGGTGGAATAGGGCATAGAGTGAGGAAACACTGGACCAAAGCAAACACAAAACCATCAGGGAAAGCTTCAAATCCTGCCTTTCCATGTCTGATGTCAAAGTGCTCTTCAGACCTCCAAGTCCTTTCAGCTCTTCTGACTACAACACACTGCTCTCTTGGACTGGTTCTATAACCCCCGTCTGCAGCTTTCCTCAGCAAGTATCCATAACTCTGGCATCTCTGACATACTGAGTCTCTAACGAAATCCAGGCTTCACCCGATGACCTATCTGGGCCTACATGCAGGGACACCCCTGACATATACCTGGCCTCAGCAGCCTTTTTTAGACATAGAGGAAGATTCCACATTCTTTTTCTTGTATTCCTGACTCTAAACCTAGAACCATGGGGCTAAATCTGCCAAGCTCTGCTGCTTGCTGGGTCTGCAACTTAATCCCCTCTTCCAAATACATCTGCACCAGCTTTTTGTTGTCTATGGTTTCTTTTACTGCCTAAGTTTTTCTTTAGTTCCTTTCCACAAGGTGGAAACTTAACTGGGTGGGATCTTCAGGTCACCACTCCCTTTACTCCACTGAACATCAGGTTTTCCTTAAACTCGAGTCCAACAACATTCCCAGTGCTTCTTTCTCCATAAACCACATTTTATACTTTTCCTTGCTCAGCTTCCTTCCTTTCAGTATACATCTGCAGTAAGAGTTGCTGCTGATAACTTTACGACAGAGTCAAATCTAGGGTGTCCTGAAAGCTCCTCTGCCAAAGCCAGTACTTGAACACTCTTCAGTTTAGCTTCAGGCAATTTTGGAGGGGGGGGGTCAAGGGCAGAAAGCAGCCTCTTTCTTTGCCCAAATATCACAAGAACAATCTCGTGGCCCCTTACTAATTTTCTTCCCCTCTGAAACCTTTTGAGCCAGGCGTTATAATCTACATTGTTGTTCCTACTAGGATGCCCATAAGCCCTGCTGAAAACATTCAACTGCTTTCCTGATCCAAGGTCCCAAAGACCACATCCCACCAACAAGCATCAGGTCCCAGCAAAACCTACTCCCTGGTGCCAGCTTCTGTCTTAGTCATTGCTCTACAGTTATCAAGAGACACCATGACCATGGCAACTCTTATGAAGGAGAACATGTGAGTGGGTCTGGCTTATAGATTCATCATGGTGGCACACAGGCAGACATGGTGCTGGAGGAGGAGCTGAGAGTTTGGGCTTCTGAAGTTATAGACGTCCTCCAAAAAGGCCACAGCGCCAAATCCTTCCCGACAGCACCCCTGTCTGGGAACCGAGCAGTCTAGCATATGAGCGATTACGAGGCCACTCTTTCAAATTATCACAATTTTTTTGATTTGACAATTTATCATTCCTATTAGACTGGCATTTTTCATTTGTTCCTTGAGTAGATTCTGAATCACAGACTACAGACATTCTTTCAGATCAGCAATTTTCTGATAAATTCTCTTATAGATTAAAAAAAAGTACACAATTCCAGAAGTATCCGCTGTTTCAGCTTCTGCTTCTTTAGATACTATATAATTTTCCACTCAACATTTTTGTCATATTATACTGAACGGCCCCTTGGTCCATGTAAAAGCAGGTCTTTAGATTAATAAATATAGAACCCCCTTTTACCCTAGTAAAGATCACGTGTGCATGCTCACACACACATCGAATGTAAGGGAAAAAAGAGGACATAGAATTCTTTACTAAGAAAAAGACAAAATATATTAGCATACAAAACTTAACCCAACAAAACAGTTCATTATTCTACATATTATATGAACTGATACAAACCCTTTGGATACTCCGGCTCTGTCATTAACAATCTTCACTTCTTTTACAGACCCATACTGGGAAAAAAATTTTCTTAAATCATTTTCATTTGTCTAGTGGCATAAAAAAAAACATTAAGAAACGTTTTAGTCACTAAAAGATGAAACAACTCCAATGTCTGTTGTGGAGACATAAAAACTATAGAGAATAAGTTAGAGGGCATCTCATCATTAAAAACAGGCAAAACCATTGTTACCAAACTCTATGTACTTTGCTTTACGTAGCAGCTAGGCTGCTACTTTCAACGGAATGTTCTATGACTGCAAAGACTGCAACTATGTAAAGGACTCTTTCAGTGCCTTTAAGAATGTTAACGGGATTGTGTACACTAAAGCCATAGTTAGGCTACATTACTACTGGCTCTAGTATTTGGGGAGGGCAGCTGTTCATCAGTAAAACCAAGTTACAATGGCCTAATCCAGTCAGTTTGAGGTAATCAACATAGTCTTTAGGAAGAAAGGAATGTATTTCCCCCAAATACTTGAATTTGCCAAAGTAAGTCACAAAATGCTATAATATTTCAAATAACAAGATATTTTCCCTGTACTAAACATAAATTTTAGATAATACAGACATTACATTGCTACAATAAAATTAGTAAAACACACACAACTTTCAAGATGTATACAAAGATGGTTTGGGACTATCTGATTTTACTAAAATAGGTAGACAATAAGAGCTATTCCCAGAGTATTTATGTTGAATTCATGGCAATTTAATTTTGGATTCAGTTGCACCTAAGCATAACTTTAAGTTTACCTAAAGGAGAAACAAAACATGTCTTAGAGCACAGCCACTCACTTTGAGTTCAACTGTTACCTCACTTAAATACACAATTTGCTATTTTGGATGATAGCACTGAGCCTGTTAAATTGGATAACAACAAACACTAAATCTAAGAATAAGTGAGTTACTTTTATTTTAACAATGGATTTTCTAATGGAGTCAATGCTAAAATGAGAGCTGCTACTAGATATTCAGAAAAGTGCATCCAAACTATTCTCTGGAGAAGTCACTAACCCAGTCACTAACTCGCAGAGTAAGGGAAAGACAAAGTCACGGTGACTGAACCTGCAGAGCACAAGTGAGGTTTCAAAGTCTGTGTGCGACTGTAGGAAATTACTTCCTCACAGGGAATTATTTGTGGTTTTGAAAAAGACACGTCTGAAAGGAAGTAATTCTGTTACCTTAATGCTATGGCTGTGTAGGAAACAATGACCTCTAAGATTCATATTGGCCTGATGTGCTTTCGTGACTGACATGAAAATGTTTTTATTGAATACGTAATTTGAAAGTTCACTAAGATGTTTAATAGGAATGAATTCTAAGCATGAATACATGTATTTTCCATAGCTACAATCTTTCAAAAGGTAAGAATTTTGTAAAGCATATTTATTCCTAGGGAAACAATCACATACTTAAGAATCATTATTTTGGCAAATGCACCAAGCACAGCATTTTTCTTAGGTGAAAGAAAAAGTAATTTTACCTAGATTGTAATAGGAGTATAAGTCCAAAATCACACACTATAGCATCTTTATTATAACAGGCGTCTCTCCCTATATTTCTAATATGTAAACTCAGAAATGCTTCTATGAATTCACCTGGAAGATGAATGTGTGTGCGTGTGTGTACACTGAATTTAGGGCCTCTACAAGACAAACCTCTACCACCGAATTACCGACTCAGCTCAAGTAAGGGCATCTGACTAAAAATATTCATGAACATCTTTCCTGCTCATATCTACTGCTACACTTCTTACACAGGAATACTGAAAATCACCTCAATTATGCTTTTCTCAAAGAGTGAAGCAGCTGATGAGCTGATTAAGCACACTTTTATACAGATTTTCTATTTGGACCACAAGGTCTTTTAAATTAGCAGATTATAAATCCTAACAAAGAAAGCTATTTGTAAGAAATTTAAGTCTAGGATATGGCTTACAAGTGCAAGATAAAAGTTGGGATAAAGATATAGGGTTTTGGAGCTGAAGCGATGGCTCAGCAGTTATGAGCATCGTCAACTGTTCCAGATGTCCTGAGTTCAGTTCCCAGTAACCACAGGGAGGCTCATATTATCTATAATGGGATCTGATGCCTTCTTCTGGCAGCCAGGTGTATGTGCAGATACAGCATCATAAACATAAAATAAATAAATCTAAAAATATTTCACGTATATGGTTTTATAAGACTAAAATCTTTAGATTAAGTTTTCATTTGAAAATTGAAATAATCAATTATCTACGAGCATCATGTAAGAAAGTATAACTGAAGTATGCTGGAAAATGAACAATATTAAGCAACGAGTGAGAAAAGCAGGTTACTTAAAAATAAGAAATAAAAAATGAAAGGCATATTTCCATCTGTAAGAGACAGGAGATACAGCAATTAAAGAACCCTCACTTTCCTTGTATGTGCCATGGACAGGCACCCCTGTAAACTACACAATCTACACAATCACTGTACCACTGGACAGGTACCCTGTAAACTAACCTACACAATCACTGAAAGGGTTATTTGCATTTAAATCAAGACAATGTGAAGCCTATTATCCAATATGCAATTGTAATTTTTATAGTTGTATAAAGAAATGACTGCTGAAAAATAAGATAGTTAATTCTGAAGAAAAACAAAACACTGTTCCTTGCCCACCGTGCTGCACCCACAAATAGATACCTTAAAGTCAATTCCTCCTACGAAGATGCGGTTAGGGATCACGGTTCCGTATCTCGGGGCACTCGTTTGGTTATTCAAAGGCACAGGTGATACAGGATTGGGGGATGGAGATAATGAATCTGTCTGTGTTTGATTTGTTGTCTGCTGTAAAATAAAGTCATTTTAAACTTTTAGCACTGGGCATGAGTTTTAATGCAGGTTCATTAAAACAGTCATTTAGGCAAAACATCATCTACTAGACTTGACCTTTATTCCAAAATTATGAAGACCACAGTTAGAGTTCATAGTTTTTGTGGGAAGTAAAAATGAAACAAAGTACTTCATTCTAGAGAGTGCTGTCTATAAGACAGACTACTCAGATGTACTTAAGATAATTATAAGGCATGAGATTGTTAAGGAAGTACACTAAATAGCCCGCAGCAATGGTGCACACATTTAATCCCAGCGCTTGGGAGGCAGAGGCAGGAGGATCTGTGAGTTTCTTTCGAGGCCAGCCTGGTCTACAAGAGCTAGTTCCAGGACAGCCAGGCTATGCAGAGAAAACCTGTCTCCAAAAAACAAAAGAAAAACCTAAAAACCCCAAGAGGCAAAAACCAAGAAAAAAGAAAAAAAAATGAAAAAAGCCTTAAATTCACAAAGAGGTCAGAAAGTGAGAAAGGATGACCCAGGTCTGCGTGCGGCTCTGTCCTGGCCATTGCACAGGTGGTAAAGCTGGCCTGGCACTCAGTTAGGCGGTGCTGCTCTCTTGTTACAGAACACCAACATCAGACAAATCCGCTAAATTATGATGGATCAAGATAGACAGAAGCATTCTTTGATCGTGTCTGAATACTGATAAAAACAAAAACACTGTCCAAACAATGACAACTGGCAAACATTGCTTTGTCCTGGATAATCTGAACAACCTTTTCTTCTTCATCAGTTTTACTTTTTAAATAACAATTTATGCAATCATAGAAATATTCCCATTACCTCAAAACATGCATTCTAGGTAAAGCCCTTATCACTAAAATTCTGTCTATAAGTCTCAAGCCTGTATTGTATAAATCAAATTATTAGCACCTGAGAGAACCCATGGTATAGTTTCTTTCTAGTTCCAATGACTTCACAGACACGACTCAATTACAGATGCGTTCTTGGTAGCATTTGGGTAGTATAAAGAGCCTTGGCAACTTAATAAACTTGGATAATTTTAGCTTGAAAAATCAAAACTTTAAATGCATGTATCTATTTGAGAATGTGACTGATCTTTGAAGAAATTACATACTGAGCTGGGTGAAGTGGTGCAACCTCCAACCCCTGCACTTGGGAGGCAGAACCAGGCAGATTTCTGTGACTTCAAGGCCAACCTGGTTTGCATAGTTCTAGGCCAGTCAGGGGTGATCAGTGAAAAATTTACAAACCTAAACGTTACGGGAAAATTACATACCTAACATTTCCATGACAAAGAATTGAGCTCTGTGTACATCCATTATATTCACACTTCTAAAATGGAAGGCTTAATATACCAATATCAGTGTATAAGGCTTTGCATAACGGCAATCAAATAGATTTGGAATGTAAGATAAAAAAAATCAAGAAACGTATTTTTAAAAAACTACTTCTTTCCTTCTGGGAAGACTAAACAGATGTTTGAGACAATTTGGCATACTAAGTCCTTCAAAAATACGAAAGTTCATAACTCTCTGAGAAACATCACATGAAGTTTTAACTTAGATAATAGAATTTTTTTTTCTGTATTTGTCCTTTTCCATTTTATTGGCTAACAAAACTACTATTTTAAATGTTCTATAATTAAAATAAAAAAGGCAAATTCCCTATCCTCATGAATATCATATCATAGTAGTATAAAATAACAGATAAATATAACATATTATATGTTAGAATATGGAAAGCAAGAGATGAATAGCAATATGCAATACTAATAGAAATAATATGTCATTTCTATTTCAACAGAGGAAATCTCTAGTTGTAAACAGTACCAGTGGTGTTCTAGAAAATATGGTCCTACCAGAGAGCATCTTTAGCTTCAATACAGAAAACCTTGTCTCTCTGCCCTTTTATTTTTAGTGTAGAACTTGTTAATAAAAACAAAGTCTTTCCAACGTTTTTAAAAACAAAGGCGTTCAATGAAAGTTCTAGTTTGTCCTCATGTTTAAGAAGACAAACTCCATTTTTCCTGAGAGGGGACGATGAAAGCAGCCCCAAATGAAGAGACATGAGGCTACCCACCGAGAAAAAGGAGAAATACCGATAAAAACCAACCACCCATCCACCCCAGTCCCTTGTTCTAAAGGTTCCTATTCTGTTGTGAATGTCATCTTACTTTCCCCTTTACTACTTACCACCTTCTAAAAGAATATGTGTATCTGTCACTTGGCACTATGCTATAATACTCACGAGGGCAGGAAGTTTAAACACACATACTTAAAACACCGCAACGTGTAAACCGGAGGGCACCGTTACACAGCAAGGGTTCAATGAGTTATTTGTGGAGCGTGTGGACGCCTAGATCTGGGTTTCAGGAGAAACCTGCTCAGCACGTGCCCAGCCTCTGGCTAAGGACCGAAGTACCGGTTATATTCTAGAACCCGCGGGACTGTTCGCAGCCACACGGCTCCGGGAGAGGACACCTCGAGCGAGGTTCCTGAGAGAGCAGCGGCGGATCTAACGGGAAGTTCCCATTGTCAACCTTTCGGAAGCACGGACGGAGGGGCTGCTCCCGGGCCGCCAGCGGGTGGGTGGCAAGTTTTGGAGTCGATTTAGACACTCTTCCCTGGGGTTTCACCGAGAGCCCCATCTTTGCAAAGGCAGAAGGAAGGGGTGTGTGTGTGTGGGGGAGGCTAACCGTCGCCGACACCGCCTCGGTGCTCCTTCCCCTCGGAGGCCAGCAGCTGGGGGCGATGGCCGCATGGACGCCTTCCTCGGCTTCTCTCAGCTCATCGTGGACGGGGGCGCCGACGCGAGGGTCCCCCCCCTCCCCGCCAAAGTGCGGGAGGGAAAAGAAGGCCAGCCAGCGAGAAATCTTGCCGGGCAGACCCGCCAGCAGCGGTGGCGGGAACCCTCAACGGCACCGACCTCGCGCGGGCGGCCTCGCGCGGGTCCCCCCCCCCCAACAACGCGCTGGGCGCCCGCTGATTGGCTGCCGGCCGGGAGCGGGGGCGGGGCGGCACGGGACCAGGCCGCTCTGGCTGCCCGCTGATTGGCTGCCGGCCGGGCGCGGGGCGGGGCGGAGCGAGGCGGCACGTTACCAGGCTGCGCTGGGGCCCGGTAGGCCCCGGGCTGGGCCCAGGCCTGCCCCGGGGGAGCGGGCGAGCTAGAGCGGGCGGGCGGGCGGGCGGCGCGCGTAACCCCGGCCTTCCCGAGCTCAGGCCTCCCCCGGGCGGAGCGTCGAAGGCCGCACGACCGTCAATCGCGGGCAACGAGAGGGTGTCCCCGCCAGGGCGAGCCTCGACGGCGCCGCCGTTTGGGCGGGAAAGCGTTGCGAGGGCGGGAAAGTGGCGCCGCTCGTTGGGCACCGAGGACCGAGCCTCCCCGCGGTCCCCGGCCGGCCGTTTCCCCGCGCTGCCCTCCCGCCCACTTTCGTCCTGACCCCAGGCCGCCCCGTCCTCACACCCCGACGGCTGCTCGTCGCCGTCCCCCGCGGTGGCCGCACCACCCTCCTCCCCAACCGAAGAGCGAGCGTTTAGGCTCCGAAGCACAACCTTCCGGGGATCCCTCCTTCCCCCGACCCCGACACTCACCGCCCGGGACTCCGTCTCCATCTTTCCCGTCCGCTCTTCAGAGAGGCAGCGGGAGGTGCGGGAGCGTCAAGTTGGAAGGCGTGTTCCGAGGAAGCGAGCCGGCGCGGCTCCCGTCGGGGACTCGCTCCCCCTGGCGGCGGCGGTGGCGCAGTCTCCGAGACGGGCGGGCGGGGCGGGGGTAAGGGGGGGGGGAGGCGACGCTGTGCGCAGGTCCCGGGGGCGCTGGGCGTGAGGCGGCTCGCACTGCCCGGGGGCGCTCGGCCTTGGTGGCTCACACTGCCCGTGGCTCTAGGCGTGAGGCGCTGGGCGTGAGGCGGCTCGTACTGCCCGGGGCACTCGGCCTTGGACGGCTCGCACCTCCCGGGGCGCTCGGCCTTGGACGGCTTGCCCTGCCCGGGGGCGCTCGACGTCGGACAGCTTGCCCTGTGGGGAACGGTAGGAAGGTGTGGGATGGCTCACTTGGCGCTTGGCGGGAGACAGTTCACACTGCGGGGGACGGCGCACTGTGGGTTGGCTTGGGACTGCGGGGCGCGGTGTGGGACGGTTCGCACTGCCCGGGGGCGCTCGGCGGGGGATGGCAGGGGTGGCCAGGTGGGGCGGCGGGAGAAACGTGCTCCCCTCACAAGGCCTACTTGTGCCCTGTGGAGGTCGAGAAAGACCAGCGGCGGCGAGCAGTCGCCCTCCGAGCGCTGCAGCGCCCACTTCAACCCTCCACTCCAGCAGGGCCCTGGGGACTTCCGACGGCTGGTTTGGCTGGTTCCATGGTTCCAGGACGGGAGACGGTTTCCTCCACCAAACCTGCTCCCCCTTCCCAGCGCAGAAGCCGCAGGCGCAGCACCTGCAGTCTCTGTCACTCACCCCTGCCGGCGTCAGGGCAGCCAGACGTTTATTTCCAGTTTATTTCCAGCGCTTGGGAGGCAGAGGCAGGGGCGTCTCTGAGTTCAGGGTCAGCCTAGTGTATGTAGTGAGTTCCAGGACGGTTAAGGGCTACACAGTGAAGCCCTGTCTCACCCTCAGTTCGCCTCACTCTCCGACCATTAAAAAGATAAATAAAACCGAGGCGAGAGAGCTTGAGGGAATCAGCCTCATGATACTTGGCCCCGTAGCTTTCGGATCTCCTTGCAAGGACTGCCTTGCAAGTACCATTTCTAAAAGTTTGCAGAGAGCCCGTCTTATTATATGTTGAGTAGTATGTAATTACAGTTAGATAACCCCATATAATACGGACTGCCATTAGTATAAGCGACTGTCCACCATGACTCATTTTGTTTCGGCACGATCACTCACTTCTCACTCCAATTCTCCTGATATCACTTCTTCCCGATATCAATTCTCCGTTGTATCACAGCTGGATAAACAGGCGGATCAGTATTTCGGTCAAGGTTTAAAGCTATAGCAAATTTATCCTGAGGATTCTGCAACCCCAGTTCTTGAAGCTGTCAGCATCAGCAAGCGTTAAAAGTTACTTCTGTGGCAACCTGTGTACTCGGTACTGTAAAATTTGTCCTCAAAATACGCTGCAACTATATCGATTTTAATATGTCTACAGATTAGTTATCAAAAAAGTACCTAAAAGGTCAGACAGGAAACAGCTTTAGTTCATTTTAAATGAAGCATCCTAAACGTTGTCGTATATTTCTGCATACAATTTTAGTTTTAGTTTCTGTGAAAAAGGTTTTAGTTTTTGTGGGAAAGTGTTACGAGCTGGGGGACTTCAGTTCGTTTCTTTTCGAGTAATATCTATGAGGACTCTGTGCCCTTCTCCCCAGAGAGCGATGAGTGACCAGACCAAGCAAGAGAATTGTTTTTATGATGATTCTTTACTAGCAACTTCAATATCCAAGGCATCAATGGGGTTTACAATCTTAGTAGGCATGGGGGATTGGTAATGGGCAACACACAGGCAATTCAATATCACAATTATTAATCCTACTAATCCTAATACATAAAACCAATTCATAACCTTAATCTAACTTATCACTTATTCATAAAACACTTCTTAACCTTAATTTATCCATTAACATTTCCTAATCTTTCTATTATCCATAAGTTTTCTCTTAACATTTCACACACTAAACATATGTATTAACACGTCTATGCTCTTAACATCTCATACACGCATTAAATACGCTCATGCATATATACAGATATGTGCTTACATACACACCATGGATAATCTGTTGCATTTTACAAACCTTAGTATCTCATTTGTTCCAGGTTCTCCTAGGATACACATGCTTTTCAGTTCTTCCATCAATCTGTTCCTTTCATAGCTTTTGCATCTTAGTCTGTTTTCTGTGGCTAATGAGTGACACCAATTAAGTAATTTAGTGAAATAAAAAAAGAGTTCTGCTTGGAGTCATGGTTTTGGAGGTCCAAAGTCAAATGCTGCTTCTGGTTATGACAATCTACAGAATCCTGAGGTGGTACAGGACATCACACAGCAAGAGGCAGTGTGTCTGTGTGTCTGTGTCTGTGTCTGTGTCTGTCTGTCTTCTAGTTCCTCTCCTCATAAAGCTTCTTGGATTCAATCGTGGTCATCCACCTTGATGGTTATCTAATTCTGAGCACCGTCCCAAACCCAACCTTGAAGACGATTTGAGTCCAGTTCCCACTGTCTTAATTCCTGTCTTTGTCACTGTTCCATTGTTGTAAAGAGACACCTTGACCACAGAAACTCACAGAAAGGAAGCATTGGCTTGGGGCTGACTCACAGTTTGAGTAGGAGCTGAGAGTTCTACATCTGAATACAGCAGGAAGAGAGAAGGCTGCTGGGCCTGGCTTGAGCTTCTGAAGCCTCAAGGCAGTGACACTGTCCTCCAACAAGGCCACTACTCCCAACCCCTCCTGTAGCTTCACTCCCTGATGACAAGTAACAACTTTGTGGAGGACGATACCCTAGCATAATCACACCCTGCTAATCAATATGCTTATTTCTCAACCTTCTTACTCTTCAATGGCAAAACATTCGTCTTGAAAGCAGCTTCCAAACACATCACTCTGTGGTCACCTGGGTGTGTAATAGATCATTAGGCTTCTTTCTCATGTCTCAACGAAACTTGTGCTCTAACTAGATCTCCCTTCCTACTTCTCCACTCTCCATGTTTCTCAATTTCTGCTCTTTTAGATCCCGCCTGGAAGTGTTGTTATACCCCAGGGAGTGTAATGTCGCGCAGGGTCATTTACTTGGGTACAAGTCGCGCGGTTTCCTTGTTTCTCCAGGACTGAATGGTCTAATATTGTGTCTATATGCCACCTTCCTGTGTTCACTGACATACGCTTTCACGTGTCTGTTGTCGCGAACAGTGCTGCAGAGATACAGATGTCAGTTCCTTGTCTACACCAGAAAGTTTTTAAAGTGTTTTCATACGGGTAGCCGAAGTGTATGTAGTAATCCCCATGCCTACCAATAGTGTCCGATTCCCTAACATCCTAACCACTTACTGAGGAGCGAATCTATAGGCTCTCATCTACTCAGCAAGTCTCTCCCACTGAGCTACACCCCCTCCTCCTCTTCCTCATTCTCTCCTTTGTGGGATTCTCTATTTTGCTTAGTCTCCTCTCAGCCTCATGGTTCACTCAACCCCTCTGCCTTAGTTTCCTGTAAACCTAGGAGCGAGCCTCAGCGCCACAGCCTTTGGATGCTCGCCATTCTGAAAGTTGTGACACCTTGTGATTTTAATTGGGTTATTTTTCTCGAGTTGTTTTTATCAATATTTTTGATATTAACTTATTAGGTGTATCGGTTATAAGTAAATATTTTCTCCTACTTTATAGGTTGTCTCTTCTTTCCCTTGGCAATGCAGAAGTTTTTGGTTTGGTGTAAACCCAGATGTCAACTTTTCCTTTCCTAACTTTTAGTTTTGGGATTATGACCGATAAATTATTGACCGGATCAATGGCATGGGGGTTTCCCCTTGTTTTTTTTTTCTAGTACTTTTAGAGGTTCAGGTCTTATGCTTGAGTCTTTAGTAAGTTTTAGTTGATTTTTATACATAGTGTGAGAGAGCAATTCATCTTCCAGTTTTCTTAGCCCCACGTATTGAAGGGAGTGTCCTTTATCTCTTTGCTGAAAGTCAGTTGACCATAAATCTTGCAAGCTGATTTGTGGTCTTTTTATCCCATTCCATTGGTCTTTTGTGTCTGTTTTTATGTCAGTGTCATGAAACTTTGATTAAACAGCTTTGTAATATAGTGTGAGACAAGAGAGCATTGCCTACATAGCTAGCTAGCTCTCTCTCTCTCTCTCTCCCCAGTATATGTGTGTGTCACTAAAGATAGCTTTGGCTATGTGTTAGTTTTTCTTGTATATGTGTGTTCCATATGAATTCTATGCTTTTTCTATTTTTTTTGAAAAATTCCATTGTTATTTTGATATTGGTCAGTTTGAATGTAAATATTGCTTTGGGCAGTATGAATATATTAACTATAATAATTCTTCTAACCCTTGAATATAGGATCATCTTCAATTTCTTTACTGTTTTATAGCTTTTCGTTTATATATATATATATTGCTTAAATTTGCTTCTAACTATTTTTCTGCTATTATAAATAGGATTTTGAGTTTAATATTTAAAGGACAGGTTGCTGTTGGTATATATAATTACCATTAACTTTTGCGTGTTGATTTCATATGCCACAGTATTACTGATTCTTTATCCATTTACAGAAGCACGGCTTGAATAATACACAATTTCAATTTCTTTTTAAGGTAAGACCTTCAAAATTCTTTGATCTGTACATTATCAGGTATTTGCTTACAAACAATAAATCTACTGTATACTACTTACAGCAGCGTACAAGCCAGACTTCACTGGGAGAGTGATTACTAAGAAAGGGCTCAGTTCACGGTGCGTGCTTCAGCTCTTCCTCTACACCAGCTGCTCTCACCTCTTGACTACTGGCTCTGCCGATTTCTAAAATCTTCCCACTTGCCTCTTGTCCTTCCGTTTGAGGCACGAGGCGTTTTCCTGAATATTATAATGTCCTTAGTTCACACTTCTCATACCCTTAGGTACTTGGGCAATATTTCTCATTTCTACAGGATGTCTCTTCATACTTTTTAAGTACCCGCACATGAACTCTTGTTGAGTTATCATTTGCCCTCTCCTCTAGCAACTGCAGATTTCCCGAGTGTTGGGCAACTGCTGCTTTGGTGCCCACTGAGCTTTCGTAGCAGACGGGCCATCACGTGCTGTGGTGCACAGGGGGTGGGCTGAGAGCCAGACCTTGCTCCTTCACGCCTGCAGCCTCAGAGCCCTGCACATTCAATGTTCTCACTGCAAAGCTTCCATATGGGATAGCAGAAGCCTTCACTAACATAACCTGTATCCATGGCGTGAACGAACACAGGCTCATAGCCATCGTGTTTTATTATCACACGGTAAGACGTACATAACTGCTGGGCATTTAGAATGGAAGTTCATCCTGGTGCGTGTTGCCAGTTGGGTTCCTCAGGAAAGAATGCATGTAGCACGGATAATAAAAACCCAGAGGCAGATATTGGGGTTCAATCTGAAGATAAGAAAAGCAAAACAACTAAGCCGCTGAGTTAGTTCTTCTATGAAATCTTCAGATGGAAAGAGAGCAAATTTCTGTCTCATTCCGTCTTATATTCCTCTCTAGTGCTTGCTGGGATTAAAGGCGTGCACCACCACTGCCAGCCTCTCTGGCTAACTAGTGTGACTGCTGGGATTGAAGGTGTGCACCACCACTGCCTGGCCTGTATGGCAAACTAGTGTGGCTGTTCTGTGTCCTGGTCTTCAGGAAAGCTTTATTAAAATACAAATGAGATGCCACTACATTTCTGCCTTTGTCTTAAATAAAAAGAAGGCTATAACTAATTCAGGAAAAATGATATACAATAATTACAATAAGTGTATACAATATATACAGGCAATAAATACATCAACAATGTCTAGTCCATTTGAGTCTGACAAATTCGGAGAAAACACTTCACGTCAGTCCTATCTTGGTGCGTCCAAAGACTAGTACCTCATTTACTTCCTACCATAACTTGCTTTCTGCGGCAGGTGAACAAGGGAACTATAACTAGAGAGGCTCCGCCTGGAGTTTCCCAGTGGCAGAGGATTACCTTGAATATTCCTCATTGACCTACATCCATTAGTCCAGTGAGAAGACTAAGACTTCCTATATTGCTGAGAAGTTACAGAGGGAAGCGCTATGTTGATGACCACTTCCTATGTGCTAAATAATCCTCTCTGAAGAACTCTGGACTCCTGGGTGCTGGCAGCACACATTGTTAACCCCAGCACTCAGGAGGCGGAGGCAGGCAGATCTTTCTGCAACCTGGTCTGCGGAGGGAGTTCCAGGACCTCTGGTAGCAGCACCATCTTCATTCTTCCCGTGGTTTGGATCTTGAATGTCCTTCATGGCCCATTCATTAAAGATTCAGCCTGCAGCTGTGCTCTCTTGGGAGGTGGCAGCCCCTACGAGTCCAGACCTGCGGGGAGTTTTTACTGCACTGGGGGGGTTCCCTTGAAGGAAACTGTGACCTTTGTCTCCCTACTCTCACAGCACATTCCTAGCCTCTGCGAGGCAGGCACACAGGGAGTTTGTAATGTAAGATCGCAGGCACCAGACACCTTCTGAGCTTATGGCAGAAGACGACAGAACTTAAAAACTCCTCTCTTCATATATTCCAAAATTCTCAAGGTCGAGTGGATTAGAGAGCCTTCCAAAAGAGATGCTCAAAGTCTTTATCAATTCCTGTGCACTCGTGTTCAGAGAAGACACAGGGAAGACTGCAAAGGAAGAGAAGGCATGAGAGCCCAACTTGGACATTTTGAATGGAGACAAAACATTTTGCAAACTGTATGCCGTACTTTCTGGCTTTTCCTTATTTGAAAGCCACTGACCTTGTTGGGAGCTGTGAATCCCCCCAGATCCTGAATTTCTTGTTTTCCCCTGATCTGAGTGCCTACAGCTGCTCTGAGCACGAGACCTTCAGGAGTGCCTGATGGCAGGGGAGTGGTTTCTGGTGTGTTTGGCTGGGGCGTGGCTATCAGTTAAGGATCCCTATATAAGATGCCCCTGGACACAACAAAGGGGGCATTCTTGGGGGAATTCAAGGATGACCCGTGTCTCTGTCTGTGAGTGTTTGTGTGTTTCAATCTCCAGCCCCTTGCCCGGCTCACCAACTGTATGGTAGTGAGTGCATAGAGTGCAGATGGGCGTGGTGCGCCACAGACCTTTATTGTTAGATGATAATAATATCTTAACATGAATATGAGGGCATGCACGTAGGAAAGGAAACATTGGTAATTAATGTTCATATCAGAAGATGATGACTAAGATAACTGTAGCGTTATCCATCTTCAAATGACAAGTCACAAAGAGAAACTTCATTAAAGCGACACGAAATCTGAAGCAAGGACAGCTGCAAAAGACAGAAATCAGATGTAATGATCACTGAGTACCAGAAAAATAGTAGCCTAAAACCAATTATATCTCTGAGGACAAAATGAAAGTATTTCCCATGTAACACAGTTGTGACACTTGCTATTCTGGCTGTAGTTCTCATCCTCTCACTAGAGGGCGGTGTTGCTTCTAAAACCAGAGCTCACTGTTCTCTAGGACCTTCAAGAAAAGGTAAAAGTCACGTCTTCCCAGCCTTGTCCATGGTAAATGTCAAATATGAATCTCCTCGAGAGCTCCATCCAGTTCTGACTGGAGCCTCAGGCGAGCTAGATAAAAAAGTGAAGAACTGCGCTGTGGGATCTGGCTAGCAGAGCTAACGTCAGTGTCCGCCCTAACCAGCCCCAAGGCTCATTTCTCCTGTTAAAGAACCGCCCTAGGTGACCCCCAAGAAGCCAGTGCATGCTTAAAAAGGCTAGAGTTCTGACAGATTTCTGGGGCTACACGGCTGAAGTATTTCTTGGTGCTCTTGGCAGAGTCAAGGAAAAACAGTCTTGAATTATGAAATAATTAGTAATTGAAATACTTTTAATGCTCTCTGGTTTCATACAAACCTCAGTGCTCCAAATCTTTTAAATAAAAATGCTGTCTTCTGTTTCTCTAGGGATCTTAAGCTATTGTCTGCATTTGCTCTTAGTGTGGTTAATTCAGTTGAATCCCTGCACCACGCAATGATCTCTCCTCTTGGTGGAAAGGGCAAGATGGATTTATTCAGAATGAGATACAGAGACGAGGTTAACCCCTTGTCAGATAGGAACGTTTTAGGGTAGAGACTGAACCTGCCAATGACCTTGTAGTTGTGTGGCTCCATCCCGTCGGTGTTTCGCGTTAGGCGTCGTCCCCAGGGTTTTGGTTGGTCTGTTTCCTCTTACCCTGCCTCTTTCATCCAGCTCGTTGTCATATTTACTCAGATTGCAGAGTGAACATAGAAACCGCTCGTAGAACCTCCAGGCTCGTGTGAAACCCGAGGGTTCTAGCAAACCCTAGTTTATCTCCGCATGGGCTTGGCATAGGGATTTGCAGGGAGAGCTTGCATTTCACCCCTGGCGGTGCCAAGTGTCACCCCCACGCCACACGCTCTGACAGTCTCACTCAGATTTGCCACTTTGCAGAGTGTTTCCTCCGGCATCTCCCTGGGGTCCCCCTCCCCCGCCTCCCCTCCCCATTTCGGGTGCACCTTTAGGCTGCTCGAGCGTTTCTAAACTTCCTAAAATGTACTCCGAGTGCCTGCGGGAGCGTACACTGGCGCGCGCACCCTCGCCCCGTACCCGAGCCGGGGCCGGGCGGGTTCGGAGCTCCAGCACACATTCCATTCTTCGCGCTCGGGCACACCCCTCCGCGGTGTGGATTGGTCGGGCCGAACCCCCCCGGCGAGTCTCGGCTCCTGAGAGGCTCAGACGCCTGCCAATCCCCGCGGGCTGTCAAAACAAGTCTTTCCCTCCCTGTCACAGGCGAGCGGAGTGGAGGCCACCGCCGCACTTCCTGGGGCCGCCGCGCCGCGGTCGGCGGGCAGGTGGCTGGTGGCCCGTCCGCAGTCACCGCTCCGGCCGCACGCGTCCCGGCTCGGGAGGCTCCTGGCCCGGCGCCCGGCGCCTTTTGTCTGCGCCGAGCGGGCGTTTGCATCACGTCTCCGGTACCTCCCGCTGCTTTTCAGCCTGCTTCTCCCTCCTGCTCGCATCTTCTCCCCGCCCCCCGCCGCCGGCCCGCGCCGGCCCGCTGACCTCCTGGACCACAGCCCGAGGACGCCTCTGCCCCAGCGATGTCTCCTCTCCACAAAGTTGCGGCGATCGCTGCAGCCGCCGTCGGGCGCTGAGACCAAGTCCGGCGGGGCTTTCTCCGGGTGCCTGAGCGCACCCCTGCCGGGGGCTGGACATCGGTCACCGTCGTGCTGTCTCGCCGGGAGCTTCCGAAACGTGCTTGGCCATGGCCGAGGGCGCGGCTGGCAGGGAGGGTCCGTTGCCTCTCGACGCTGCCGGAGGCGAAGACGACCCCCGAGCCGCCGCCGACGCTGCCTCCGGGGACGCTGCACCCGCGGCCTCGGGTGGCCGGATGAGGGACCGTCGCAGCGGGGTCGCACTGCCAGGTGCCGCAGGGCCCCCCGGGGACACCGAGGCCGGCCTCCTGGAGGCTGCGCGAGCGACCCCCAGGCGCAGCAGCATCATCAAGGTAAGCCGAGCTGCAGCGGCCCAGAGCGTGGATGTGGGCGTCGGAGAGGTAGGGGACCCCCGGCAGGGTATTCATTGCCCCAGACAGGCATTGCAGGCAGGGCATTGTTTTCTCCCACCTCCTTCATTGCCAAACCTTCCTGCCTAGTCCGGAGGTTCCCAGACTCTCCTCTTGGCCTTGAGAAGCAGAAGTGATTTCCCGTCTGACAGCCAGGGAAAAGTTCCCCTCTGCGCTCTGCGCTTCTGCGGTTTGATGGATGCTTTCCCTCATTTTCTGGGCAAGCTTCACTAACCGGTGGATGGGGAGGAGGAAGGGAGGACTTGGGATAAATGCAGACCTGCGGGCTGGCTGTGCGTTCTTCAGCCGAGGGCAAGCTTTTCCTGATCAGCAGAGGCGAAACATAGCGTACTTTCAAGTGTGTGGGGGAAATCTCCCCCCAGATACAAACGGTGCCAAAATCCTGAAATGCTTGAACTTTGAAGATAGGCAGGCAGAGTTTGCAGCCTAGAGAGGATGAAGGAAGAGCTCAGTCAGAGTTTTCGCGCTGCAGAAAACACACATCCGGGAAAAAACGTTCCCAGACTCCCCTAGCACCCCCAGAGGATTTGCCTTTATCCATCTGCCAAGGAACTGTAAACCTTTCTTTGCCCCTATTTATTTCTGTCTCCCACGCCGAACTTGTTTCCCCTGTTTGAAAGTTCATCTTTCGGGTGCATGACTTTGGAGTAATTTTTTTTTTCAGGTAAGCCCCTTGGCACTGGCTCTAGGATAGGGCCGTTTGGCGTAGGTCCATGTGATTACTGCGTACATGTGAGATTAAAGTTGATCTTGGTAGAGCATATGTGGATACACATGTATCCATGTGTGGATACACACACCACGCGACAGAAAGAAGGACTTGGAAGGAAGGACGGTGGAAGGATTATTGTTCAGCTTACTGACTTACTGGGTAGGCTCCTGCCTTCAGAAAGCCTGCTCAGACTTAAACCGAGCAGCCTTTGGTCACGCGTGTCTTCTTTCCCGAGCTACCAACCCCAGTGTCTGCGCCCCCATCCACCTAGCTCCAAGCACTATCTACGCTTTTCCCCCAAACACGGACCCTCAGAAATTCAAAAGCTACAGGGAGATTCCTATGTGAAAAGTGCACAGGAATTTCAAGTAACCCGTCGTAGTTTATTCTGTGGCTCTCTCATAATATGAAGAGAGCATTATAGTCTGGATGTGAATTTGGATAAAAGAGAAATGGCCCTCTTAATACTCCAAGTCAGAAACCACACTGTCTCGAAATATAGTACGGTACATATTTAGTATCGTATGTAATTAGGAAACAGGTGCATTTGGTGTACAAGATGCAGATTCTGCGAGAGGACCTGTGGGGTAGTTTAAAACATATGACGGTAAACGCAGTGGGTCTTTATAATGTGTGAAACATACAAGCCATGCGGTGTATGCGGTGTAAGGACTGTGCAAATTCTTGCAGCCAGTTTTACTACTCTGAAATTGCTGTGCCACTAGGTGTGTGCTTCTACGTGCTGGGAATCCAGGGGATGTGGTCACGCAGGCTTGAGACTCAGCAGTCAAGGGCTTGACACGGGAGGGTCTTCATTTCCAGTGTAGCCTCCTGCACACAGCCATACCTCGCCTCAAAAGAAACAAGCTCCGTCCCTGGACTACATGCTCCGGTGCGGTTTATATTCTCGTAAGGGTCGGCCCTGAGTGATGGTGCCTCCTTTGTTTGGAAGTTTGTTTGGTGACCAAAAGGAAGACAGCAGAACATTACGTTTCTCTCCATTTAATGGTAAATTAAATAAACGCTTAATAAATGGTGTTTAAAATTAAAGATACTACAAAATTAGATGAGCTATTTTAAAGTATATTTATTCAAGAAATATACCTATAATTAAAACAATTAAACCTCGCGAAGGAGTGCTTTGTAGGGCTTTGTGCTACTTCACCCTCCCTTTTACACAGCCTACCCTGTAGCTATTAACACTTTCTTATGCATCCCTTCCAAAATAGTCCACGTGCTTGCAGGCATGTGTACCTGTGACTAGCGGCTGAGGCCCTCAGTAGCTACAATGACATTTGACTAGAATTTATTGGCTTTGTACCTTCACATCTGCATCTAACATTTTCGGTGCCCAGAGGATTGACTAAGGGCATTATGATGAGCAGATTAAACTTCAAAGATGGCCTGGGAACAGGTAGGTGGTGGTCATTGGGATTTGTCCCCAGCGACCTTCCTTTTCTTCTCAGGGCAAGAGACAGGTAGGCTCTTTTCTACTCTTTCTGAGGTCAAGAATATGTTTATTTGTCTTGAATCTTTTGTCAGTGGCTTGGTTCCTTTAATGTAGCAAAGATGAGCATATACCAGAAGGCACCATTATAATTAGAAACATCGAGGGAGGAAAGATACATTTCTGCTCATGGTTTCCGAGATCTCAGTCCATGGTCACCATTGGCATTTCTAGGCCTGCAGCAAGGCAGTCCACCACGGTGGGAACCCTCCTAGGGCCTCTCCCCAGTGATTTACTCCCTATATCTGGGCCTCAGCTCTGCTTCTCAGGGCACCCCGATAATCCCACCAAATTATGACCTCTGTTCGGGTTGACCTAGATAATTGGTTTAATTATTTAAATGCTAATTCTCTATTAGCATGACTATTAGATCAGCATGGTGCATTCCTCTATCCTGCCTGGAAACAGACTCCCTTGTATATTAACTAAAGGAATGTTTTTGGTTAGTTTGCCCTTCTTAAATTTGAAAACATATGTATAGCCGAGAAAAGGATTTCCTTCTGCGCTGATGGGAACAGTCACACTGTTGATCTCTGCCCGTCCTCGCCGAGCCTGTCCGCTGTCACTGTGGCTTTTTCCTTTATACTCTCAGGCTTGGTCTTTTTAATACTTGAGCTTTTTAATACTGTAGGAATTCAGATAGAGTCTCTGTAAAGCATTTACTTTTCCCCTGCATGATTATTTTCTATGAACTGCCATTGATAAATGTTTCATTTTTTGCCAACTGTACATAATATAATATTTGTTGGGTCCATCTTAATTCCTTCTTGATATGTGATTTAAGATGTAAAGGTAGGAAAGTGATAAGTAATATCTAATATTGATGTACTATTTTGTATTTGAATATATTTATAACAAAGAAATTAGACTGCTTATCTAGTGGTTGATGTCAATATCCCACTATTTAAAACATCTGCCACTTTAAATCATAGCCAATAGCCCATAGCTATATTATTGTAGAAATAAGAAACAGCGTAGTTTATTCTCTTTATTAGATAGTGGGAACTGAGATACATAAATATTTTGAAGGCCTTTCGTTTTTTTTCTAGTACATGTGACATATTGATTAATTCCACGTTCGCTTGTTTTCTTTGGAATCTAAGTATATCTAGCCCAGGCGAGGAAGAACAGACTGACATCTCTCTAACTGCATGACACGTGGGATGGAGGTCGGTGTTAGGAACGAGGAGCTGAGCCACGCAACTGAGCAGCTAAAGGAATGATTAAGATTGTTGTGGTCCACGCCTCGTTAGCGTTAGGTTACCATGGCCCGTCTTACCCTATCTAGTTTTGGGAGCTGCAAACACCAAGACGCACCCTGGGTACCAGCTGACTCATCAGAGAGGCAAACAGAATGAAATTCACAGAACGTGCTCTCTACTGTGGTTAAATTCCAAACTAGCTTTCGTACATCCCGTGTCCTCTCAGCCAGGCGTCTGGTGTGAGGGGGGTATGGAGAGACCTAAATCAAGACAGGGTCAGCTTCAAAGCCGCGTCCGCTTAACCCCTGTTACCATGTAGGTCCTCGGTTGCAGTCAGCTCGCAAGTCAACACTCCTAGGTTGGAAACAAGTTGAGCACACGAAGAATCTGAATGTTGGGCTTGTCGGGTGAATTGTCCTGTCTCTACTGCCCATCTCCAGTTTAGAGGTCGGGAGCACCACGGCTCAGGAAGGGGATGCAGCCCTTCCTGCCTTTGGCCCTTTGGTTAAGCTCTTTGGTTAGGCCCCTGCTGTGTGTGAAAGGGCAGTTTGCTAATGGAGGTCACTTGTCAATGTGTGCCCCTCCCCACCCCAGGCCAACGTCTTCCCCTGTGTCCCTGAAGACAATGGAGTTTTGAGAAGAATTGTGTTTTCTTTAGATTGATAGAGGGGGCAGATACCTGGTTCACGGACTATATACTATTATAGGGGAGTGAGAGGAAGAGGATTTTGATTGAAACTTTGAACATGTTTTTATAAACAGTTATAATGTGAGATTAAATATGACTGAGAAACTTACAATTTTCAGGCACACTGGCGCTATATATACTTTTGTAGATTAGCCTGGGAATTAATTAGCGTGTAGACTTTTGTTCCCGTACTGATGTCCTGGCTAGTCATATGTCACCTTGACACAAGCTACAGTCATCTGAAAGGAGGGAACAACAACTGAGAAAATACCTCCCGAAGATCCAGCCATAGTGCATCTTCACGAGTGATTGGTGGGTGGTGCCATCCCTGGGCTGGTGGTCCTGGGTTCTACAAGAAAGCAGGCTGAGCAACCCTTGGGGAGCAGACCAGTAAGCAGCACCCTCCATGGCCTCTGCATCAGCTCCCGCCTCCAGGCTTCTGCCCTGTGTGAGTTCCTGTCCTGACTTTCTTCAGTGACGACCCATGCTGTGGAGGTGTGAGCCGAATCAACCCTTTCCTCCCCGTTGCTTTGGTCATGGTGTTTCATCACAGCAATAGTGACCGTAACTCAGACAGCGGATCTACATTGAAATCTTTCAATAGAAAACCGATGGTGGAATTTTCAAGGGACAAACCGGACAGTTCACTGGAGCTGACCAGCCTTTGCGTGAGGGCAGCTGTTAGCAGGCCATGGCCTTCGGAGCTACAGAGGGGGCTCTCCCACGGAAAGTGTGCCCACTGTGCGCGTAGCATCGAACCTCTTAGGTGGCTTTGTCTTACTATCCCAAATTGTCCTATAAGTATGACCGCAT